AAACCAACACGTTGTATGAGGTTGAAATATATCCCCAATCATATTTCGACACAGACAACTCCTTAAAAACCAGGAAAAAAGCTTAAAAAATACAGTTTACTATTTAAAAGTTGAAAAAATATCGTTCTATAAGTTTTTTTTTGTATATTATATTTATATTTTTTCTCTGCAAGTAAGTCTCTAAAGTAATTTTTTTCTTTTTTATTAGTTTATAGTCTATATATTATATACTTTATTATAAGTAATTAGAATTTAATTTAGATTTAGCAAAACTAGGCTAAAATTCTCGACGATAGTCACAATGAAAATTGGTCACTAGGTCGTTAATTTTGTTAATAGATTTTCAACTCTTATTGCGAAAGAATAAGGTTGAAAGTGTATTAAAGAAATTTTACTAGTCGACCCGATTTTTTTTTCATATTCATGTCATAGTGTCGTAGTGGCCCGGAGGTTTTAGACGCCCGTTTCTCATGTATGAGGAAACAAACGGGCTCAAAACCTACCAACGGCAAGTACCAATGTGACTTTTTCCGAGTTATATGTACGTTCTAAGATTATTTAGACACCACTGACAAACGGTGAAGGAAAACATCGTGAGGAAACCTGGGCTTATAATTTCTAATTATGAGTTTGAAATCGCTAAGTGATTTTGTCCCGGCCCAAGATTTTTAAAATCTTGCAGACGAGACAAGATCTTCGTTTTTGGACTTGCGACACCTCCCGGGCATATTATGAATGGAGTTATAAAATCTTAACATGCAAATACAAAAAGTGTAAAGCGGTTTTACCAATCGGTTCAATATCCGGATCAAGGAAAATGTTATTGCGAATATCGATTGTGGAATTCGTTCTAAAAATAGCTTTGTTTGTCGTGATGACTCAGAATCATAAGATTAATAATGGCCCTGCCGGTTCCTTCAGGGTATTAAAGGCGTGAGGTTTATACTATTTGTATTACCCTATCTTGTTCGTAAAATAGTCGCAAGCTCGACGGTTGAACAAAGAAAAGAAAGAACTATAATTACTTTACAAAATATAAATTAAGAAAAGTAGTTAAAAAAACAATGTATACGTCGCAAAGGGGTCTCGGGTTCGATTCTTAGGACCGGCAAAGTATTATTGGGTGTTTGCTTTGCGATATCCACTTAAAGTACAATTCTGGAATTGTATCCGGTATATGGCAATAGGCTCACCCCCTATTACATGGGACTCATAACATAAATAGTGAAAAGTGGGTGTTACATTGTATAATAATTATGCATCTTTGTCTACTCCTTTGCGGTATAAAATACGTAGTATTACACACCTTTAGGGTCAAAAAATATTTAGTTTAATACATAGACCGATCACATCTAAACTTGAGAGCAATGAAACAGAGTCCCCACATTTTCCCCACGGGTGGGGCGCAATCCACGAATAGGGCCCAATAGGGCTGATACCGATACGGAGTCGCGGAGAACCTAACGGGTTACCGGAGCTTCGGCTCGAAGAGCAGGAGTAGGAACGGGGTAGTTTTTAGTCAGTAAGAGGCGGGAAGGAGTGTCAGACACACTCCTTCCCGCCTCACCCAGGCGGGAGCAGTCATTCAATGATTATACCCCCTTAAAAAATAAAACGCCTTTTTCTATTTTATCGAACACTAGCTACTTCCGCGCGATTTCACACGCTCTGCTCAGCTCCTATTGGTCGTAGCGTGAGGTTTTATAGCCTATAGCCATCCTCGATAAATGCGCTATCCAACACAAAAATAATTATTCAAATCAGACTTGTACTTACGGAGATTAGCGCGTTCAAACAAACAAACTCTTCCGCTTTATATAATAGTATAAGACTATAACTTAAAATATATCTTTTGCAACAAAACGCTCTCATTGTAAAGGTAACTAAATTGCCTTTATACGACATACGTCACCAATTAATAAAATACTAGTATCAGATAATATTTATCAAAAAAATGGAAAGGAAAAAACGATAGTGGCTTCGTTTGTTAACTCCCCAAGTGTAGATTACGTCATAGTGACTATGAGTCATAAAATAATCTTTAGTTCTATAGTTATAAAAACGTCAATTGGTTGTGAATACGTAGGTTCGATACCTATACATGTTTTAATGTTTTTGTAATACCTAACTATCGTGAGACATACTAAATTCACTTAACCCGTCGAGCGTCCGCGTTCCTTATGATCCAACGGGTGCACACGTGACATTTGGAGAAAGAAAGAAAATGCATTTATTTGGCCATTGGCATACGAAAACAAGGTTCATTACAATAGAAATAAAAAATACAGTCAAAATAAAAACAAAACATTAATAATAGATTTTATAAAAGAGAAAGCAGCATGGAGCATTTTTTTTATGATCCACCTGGTGCTCATAAGGACGCTCGAGGGGTTAAAATCGCGGGTTACTCACGTGAGTGTACTGAGAAAAGCTCTACTAGTTTCGAGCCACAGACGGGTGCTTCCTCATGAGCAGAGGAGACCATGAGCTGAATAAAACATATTCAAATTTCTTTATTGTGGATCACGGATTCACAGTTTTATACATAACTAGCTTCTGCTGGTGGCTTCGCCCGCGTTCCTAGGGGTAAAAAGTAGCCTATGAGTTACTCCAGTCCATCATCTACCTCTGTGTATGGGGCCCAATAGGGCTGATGCTAATACGGAGCCGCGGAGGGATTAACGGGTTACCGGGGCTCCGGTTCGAAGGGCAGGAGTATAAACAGGGTGGTGTTTAGTCAGTAAGAGTCTGACACTCCCTCAACTCAATCAAGTCATTCGATGATTTTCCGCCCTAAAAAAATCTACTTATGTTCCTAATTTCATCCCATTCGGCTGTTTTGACGTGAAGAACAACAAACACACACACACACAAACACACAAACTTTCGCATTTATTTATTTATAATATTAGTAAGGTGGACAATACATAAACATATAAAAAAATTGAAACAAGGCCTTTAATAGTTGCTAACTATAGCGAAAACCGCATACAAATAAGTTCAGAGTGCCAAGCACGAATAACTATCGTAACGTAATAGTATCGAGCGCGTTCGGCGCTCTGATTGGCCGGCTCAAGTGAACCAACCAATCAGAACGCTTAACTCGCTCGACACTGTTACGATACGAATGCGATAGTTATTCGTGCTTAGTCCTCAGTAGTTTTAAAATTACTAATCACAAAGAATGAGATAAAAAGTTTTCTTTAATTTTAGATCTACGTTAATTCTAAAAATTCCGAAGCATCAAAATCTGTTCCTCATCATCAACAGCCTATAAGTGCCCACTGCTAACCAAAGCCCTCTTCTCACACGCAGAATGTCTCAGCACTGAGACATTCTCGCATGTGCCTGAATGCGTCAGGCATGTCTTTACATTATTCTCACATGTGTGTACAATATTGGAATATGTATCAGAGCAGTGTAAAACAGACTTTTTTTTTAAAAGAGTAAAGACTGCGAACTTTTATTTATTTCATATTTGTTGACGTTTCAAAAGTACCAAAGGTTTAATTGAAATAAATGCTTTTGAGTTTGAGTTTGCACTATACACCACGCATTAATCACCACGCTTACTCAATGCGGGTTGGCGATTCCAAACTTACAATTACAAATGGGGTAGACGACTAATTTTTATTTTAATGTCCGTCTGATAGATTATTTAAAAACATTAGACACGTATTTTTTATTTTCTCACAGAAACGAATAGTTTCGAAGATATATTGATTTGAAATGTCGCGTGACGTCACTTCTCAGTACATTTTATACTAAGGAATGACGTTTTAGCCCCCACTCCTAAACTTTGATTCGTTTTATCTAAGTATTGTTTTATTATACGACAAAATAAAAAAATACGTGTCTAATATTTTTTCATTACCTAACTTACGGACTAATTATATTTTTAATTTTCATACCCTGTCATCATCCCCATTATAAGCCCAGGTTTCCTCACGATGTTTTCCTTCACTGTTTGTCAGTGGTGTCTAGATTTTAGAAAGTACATATGACTCGGATAAATTCACATTGGTACTTGCCGTTGGGAGGTTTCGAACAAGCACTCACATGCATGAGAAGCGGGCGTCTTAATCCTCCGGGACACCACGATGTGGCGAAAAAATCCGTCCCGCAGTTCCAAATATCAGACAATACATTTCTAAATATGAGACAGACAGCGGATAGCGCCTTTATTTCATATAATGTCATAACATCACGCCTTTTATCCCCGAAAGGGTAGGCAGACGTGCATTACGGCACTTAATGCCACTGTACAATGTAACACGCACATTTCACTATCCATGTTATGAGTCCCATGTAATAGGAGGTGAGTCTATTGCCATATACCGGACACAATTCCAGACTCCGTGTTACTACTGAGATTTATTTAAAAACCCAGTAATACTGTGCCCGACCCTGGAATCGAACCCGAGACCCCTTGCTAGGCAGTCGCACTTGCGACCACTCGGCCAATGAGGCAGTCAATGTTCAAACTTATAATTAGAAATTATAAGCCGGGATTTTCTCATGATGTTTTTTTTTTCACCGTTTGTCAGTGTCTAGATTTTGGAAAGTACAAAACCCGTCGCGCAATTCTAAATATCAAAACATACATAGAGACATACAGCGGATAGCGCCTTTGTTTCATATAATGTCATAACATCACGCCTTTTATCCCGAAGGGGTAGGCAAAGGTGCATTACGGCACTTAATGCCACTGTACAATGTAACACGCACTTTTCACTATTTATGTTGTGAATCCCATGTATTAGGAGGTGAGCCTATTGCCATATACCGGGCACAATTCCATACTTCATGCTACTACTGAGATTTATTTAAAACCCAGTAATACTGTGCCCGACTCGGGAATCTAACAATGTAGTCATTAAGTATTAATTATTGTTTTATTCTTTGTTACAGAAGCAATGACTGTCTCCGTATAAGTTTAGTTTTAAGAAAAGTGAAAAGTGATTTTGAAAGACAACAACGCAAGGATATAAGACTTGAAGATGTTTCAAAAGCCTGCCTTCGGTTCTACTACAGCCAATTTCGGTGAGTTATCTTCTACTAGCTTTTACCCGCGGCTTCACTCGCGTCACAAAAAAATAAAAAGTAGCCTATCAATGTGACATATACCAATACACACAGCGCCATCTATACTTTTGTTTTTCCTCAGGAATATAAATTTTTTCCGGGTTAAAAAGTACCCTATTATTTAATCTGGACTTCTAACTTTACGTCTGCAAAAATTCAAAGCAATCGGTTGAGTAGTTACGGCGTGATGGTGGAACAAACAAACAAACTCACTTTCAGATTTATAATATTAGTAAGGATTATCAAGGACCTTCTATCTACCTCCTATCTTTAAGTCCCGAGTGAATAGATTGCTCATAGGTAGGCGTGCTCCATCGTCGGCCACATCATCGCTTACCATCAGGCGAGATGGTGGTCAAACGTCGACCTATGAAGTATAAAAAAACCGTTTAATGTATTTGTGAGATTGTTAAAAACATTTATTTTAAAAAAGTAACGATGGCGTTTCTTACCTCGTCTTGGAATGAAGTCGTAATATTTTGTAATGTTTTTCCTCAACGCCAATCGAACTTGTATACCGCAGCTTGGATTCCCCGCCGTTGCGTCACGATTTATTTGTAAACATATATGAGTCATACATGAAAGAATTTCATGAAATATTTGTTTGTATGAGTCAGTATTGTTTTGTTTTGCGCCTTTACATTTTAGAAATGTCTCTTTTTGTTAAATGTAATCAGCAATTATTTGCGACTACCGGAGGGCAGACACCGCGATTAAACTTTGCGATCTCAATACAAAAGTTTGTTACGCACAGATGTATGATTACTCTGCTGAGGAAAAGTGCTTTTGGTATGGCGCCGGTTATTTTTAACCACATTCCTAATTCAAAAGAACCAATGACAAGTTTTAAAAAGAAACTTACAGCGCTTTTGGTCAACAAATGTTATTACTCTGTGCGCCGGTTTCACCACCTCTATAAGTAGCTGATAAACTTATGTGATAGAAATTCAAATAATTAATTATTAAGAACTTAATTTGTAAATTACTTTCTTAATTCGAATTTCAATCTAGTGTGGGAGAGCCATGCTTCGGCACAAATGGGCCGGCTCGAACTGAGTGATACCAACAACACTTGCGTTGTTTCACGTCGTGTGGGTGAGGTTACTGCTAACTGGGCCTTTTTTTTTTTTGACCCTGGGATAATACTTTATGTTTCATCCTCCCGTGGGGGGGACGGGAGGGATATGTGGGACTCTCCGGGAGAAGCCCGGCATACCCACTAAAAACCCAGGAGCACACCAGCGTCGCCTGTGAGGGGGCCAGCCCCCTCACACGGGCCCCGAAGGACTGTTGGCTATGTCGAACGACACAGCCAACAGTCCTTCCCCTTCTTCTACGGTCTCCTGAACCTGGCCCTTGAGGCGGCTTAAGGCGTCCACGGTCGACCGCTGAGCCCGAAAGCCGTACTGGGCGTCTGACAGATCCGGCCCCACACATGCTAACTGGGCCTCCGGTAACCTCACTCACACGACGAAACACAACGTTGTGTCACTGGTTTTCTCATAAATAAACTTATTTTAATTTGTTTTGCAGGCTCCTTCAATTCCGGTACATCAACCGCGTCTCCATTCGGGGGTTTTAAGCCCACCACGGGGACGAGCGCTTTCGGAGCACCCCCGGCCTTTGGGGCGGCTACTTCTACCCAACCTACCACAGGTGGAGGTAAGATTTTTGTTTATTTATTTTATTAATCGTTTAAGTTTGAAATCGCCAACCTGCGACCCGCATTGAGCAAGCGTGGTGATGAATGCTCAAACCTTCTCCGTGTGAGAAGAGACCTTTGATCAGTGGTGATTTATAGGCTGTTGATGTGATGTGATTGTTGTATGCTATTCTATAGACATATTTGGTAATTTGGTTGTTGGTCCAGTATAAGGGGTCTTGAAATCGGTTCTACTCGGCGGCTTACTCTTGAATCCAATTCCGATCGATCGACATTGGTATTGTTTCGTACTCTTGAGTCGCATTGCATCCGTATTGCGTGGATATTGAATGAACTAAATGGTATTGAGTTCGGCTTTATATTCCGTACTCTGAATGCTATTATAGCAGCTACGATTGTGGTTGTATAGTGTTGACATTGAGTAATTATTGAGGTTTTATTGGATTGAAATTGCATTGTCATTGAGATTGGTTTCAAGAGTAAGCACCCTGGTTTGGGTAAAATACTTATTTGTAGGTTTTAATATTAACTAAGTAGTATTTAACAAAAATCCTTATCCAGGTCTTTTCGGGTCTACTAACACCACCGGCGGTCTTTTCGGCGGGTCTACTGCGTCTACTTCGACGTCGGGCTTCGGGGCGAGCACCTCGGGCTTCGGTTTCGGGGCCACGCAGCCGGCCACCGGAGGCCTATTTGGGAATACTTCGACAGTTGGTGGCGGTCTTTTCGGAAATACACATAACCAAACTGCTTTTGCGGCTAAACCTACTGGTGAGTACATATTGGTGATTTTTTATGTGAAAATAGCGACCCGCACCGGCTTCGCACGGGTGCAATATGCATGTATTATACATATAAATTATAAACCACCCATAAGAATCCTTCTATCTATTAAAAAACTAGAATTTAGTTTAATGAATATAATTGTATCAAATGAAGATTATTGTAATGTCTAAGATTTGCATGGGCTTAGACATAACATAACATCACGCCTTTTATCCCCGAAGGGGTAGGCAGAGGTGCACATTATGCCACTGTACAATGTACCACCCACTTTTCACTATTTATGTTATGAGTCCCATGTAATAGGGGGTGAGCCTATTGCCATATACCGGGCACAATTTCAGACTCCGTGCTACTACTGAGAATTTTTTAAAAACCCAGTAATACTTTGCCCGACCCGGGAATCGAACCCGAGACCCCTTGTCCGGCAGTTGCACTTGCGACCACTCGGCCAACGAGGCAGTCAGCGAGGCAGGCAGTGAGCTTAGATTGTTTAATATTTCTACACCATAAATGGTAGTATATGTGTTTCTATGTTTAATGTAAGATCTCAGTGTACCATGTACTTAGGAATAAATAAATCTTTATCTTTATCACATAATTTTGTACCTATTCTATGAAACCCTCGTTTTTCCACCAGGTTTCGGCTTCGGAAGTACAACCACCACTGGAGCGACCACCGGTGGACTCTTCGGTTCCACTCCGTCCACTGGCACCGGTCTCTTTGGACAGCAAACCAACACCCTCGGAGGAGGGGGACTGTTCGCTAATAATACTGGTAAGTAAAGAGACACGAACAGACGAATCACCTGATGGTAAGCAATCGTTGTCGCACATGAACACACAGAACATCAGAGGCGTTACAAGTGCGCCGTGCCTTTGAGAATTGGCAATTTTAGGATTGTGGGGGTTGGGGGATTAGAGAGGGGGGCAGGGGGGTGGTAATTGGCCCACCGGTAGTCTCACCCACACGACGACACCAACGCAAGTATTGTGTCACGATGGTTTTCTGCTCGGCCGTGGTATCACTCCAGTCGAGCCAGCCCAGCAGTGTCGAAGCATGGCTGTCACACACTAAAAACACTGAAGGAGTTACGAGTTGGAGTAACCTTGCAGACGCGGTGACGCAATGCAAGCGTTATTTCACTTCGGTTTTCAGCTCGGTCGTGGTATCACTCCGGTCGAGCCGGCCCATTCGTGCCGAAGCATGACTTTCTCCCTACTTTTATTTTTTATATTATAGTTTAGCACAAAAGCAGTTTGAAGTAATAGAGGTCGCTAGTATCGTACCTGTGGCAACCCGGTACACTACGACTCAACCGGTTTTGATATTTGTTATTTTTATCGAGTTTAAAAAGAGGAGGTACTGTGTTCGGATGATTGTTTATTCATGGGATATGGTCCGAAGTGGGTGATTCAGTCCAAGTCTATATTAGTTGCAGCTGTCACCGCGTTGAACTGTTATTTGCCAAGCTGTATCTATACTATATGTATTGGTGTCTGTATGTCGTGGTGGCCCGGAGGTTTAAGACGCCTGCTTCTCATGCATTAGGGTGCGGCTTCGAAACCTACCAACGGCAAGTACCAATGTGACTTTTTCCGAGTTATATGTACTTTCTAAGATTATTTAGACACCACTGACAAACGGTGAAGGAAAACATCGTGAGGAAACCTCGGCTTATAATTTCTAAATATAAGTTTGAAATCGCCAACCTGCATTGAGCAAGCGTGGTGATTAATGCTCTAACCTTATCTGTGTGAGAAGAGGCTTTGCTCAGCAGTGGGCATTTAGAGGCTGTTGATGATCTATACTATAATTTACATTCACTGACATAATATCTTCACCCCAGCAGGTGGTTTCGGTCAACAGCAGAGCACTGCGACCGGCACAGCCCATGTCAAGTACAACCCGGTCGTTGGGACCGACGTGGTAGTAAAATCTGGAACATCGCAGACTGTCAACATTAAACACCATTGTATTACTTGTATGAAGGTAAAATTAACTCTATTATTTTATTTATTTATTTATACTTTTGTGGCGACGCATGCCACATGTCAACGGATGTGACTGCACGGTTGGTGCGGTGGCTGGGTAACCAGCTGCCGTGCAACGTGTCGCGGGTTCGATTCCCGCACGGGACAACACTTTGTGTGATCCACAAATTGTTGTTTCGGGTCTGGGTGTCATTGTGTATGTGAATTTGTATGTTTGTAAACGCACCCACGACACAGGAGAAAATCCTAGTGTCGGGCAACGTTCTTATAAAATGAAAAAAAAAAAAACGGATGACGTCACAAGAATCCTACATCGCACATCCAAGTTTACAAGCGAATAAACACGGATAGAAAATCCCAACGAACAACTGTTGGGCAGAAAGCCCGCCAGGCACGATCACCTCGCCTGGTCGGAGGATCCTCCTTTTCCGATCTTAGGGAACTATACTCTCTGTTCCCTAAAGTTTATTGTCTGTGTGTGCACACAGAAAAAAATTGTATACATTGCAATAGTAATTTGAGTATAATGGGCGGTCTTATCACACGCGGCGATTTCTTCCAGACAACCTTTGGATGGAATTTTTGGAAAGAATCTGGGAATGGGTGGTAGATGCACAATTACTATTATGTTAAAGATAAAGTTGATATTAGTATTATTTGTAAAAATATTATGTTTTAAGTAATATTTTTGGTCTATGGGAATTGTGAACAGAGATGTTCGATTAGTTATGATGCGAACTGAATGTTATAAAAGATATGGTTTCGTTACAAAGCATAACATCACGCCTTTTATCTCTGGGAGTCGCGGAGAACCTAAAGGGTAACCAGGGCTCCGGCTCGACGTGCAGGAGAAGAAATGGGGTGGTTTTTATTCGATGATTTTCCCCCCTTAAAAAAAAGGGGTAGGTAGACGTGCACTCGGCCAACGAGGCAGTCGTAATAGCACGAAGTCTCGAATTGTGCCCGGTATATGGCAATAGGCTCACCCCCATTACATGGGACTCATAACATAAATAGTGAAAAGTGGGTGTTACATTACAGTGGCATTAAGTGCCTAAATGTGCACCTCTGCCTATCCCTTCGGGGATCAAAATCGTGATGTTATGTTTTATGTTTATTAAGGCTCTGATGAAAAAAATCATAGTTCTTGAATTTAACATCGATAACATTTTTCAATTTTAAATTGTAAAGCAATGTAAATTAAACTTTAAACCACTACAAAATAGAGTCCACTATTCAGAAATTAACCTTTTGTTAAATTTGACAGGAATATGAGACCAAGTCGTTAGAAGAACTTCGCCTGGAAGATTATGTGGCTGGTCGCAAGGGGAATACAACCGGCGTGTTCGGAGGATTCCAACCTCAGGCTGAGAATAAACCACTTTTTGGGGGCAGCAGTGAGTATTTAACTTGCTACCTATGTATGTGTGTGAAGTGGCTAAGTTGGGTAGTTTCCAGGGTATGAAAATGTTATGTATGTTTTTTAATCAAACGAAATATCAGTAAAAGAGAGAAGGCTATCGACACACACATTTATTCGTATTCCATTGTTTTACAAATTCGCGGGCTCCGCCACGCACATAGATAATCTATCACCATAGATTATACTATGACCATAGAGTATACCACAGATACACAACAATCCCTCCCCTTATTAAATGCACTAATAGAAAAATACAACTGAATCTTAAAAATCTAATTAGTCCGTCAGTTAGATAATGAAAATATATTAGATACGTATTTTTTATTTTCTCGTATTAAGTTGCAATGCTTAGATAAAATGACGCTAAGTTTAGGAGTGGGAGGTCGTTACGTCACAACGTGCTACAAAATGTGATACGCTGTGACGTCACGCGATATTTCAAATTAATATATCGTCGAAAGTACATATTTAATTTTGTGAGAAAAGAAATAATATGTGTCTAAAGTTTTGAATTAATGTACCAGACGGACATTAAAATGAAATTTAGGAAATTACCCTATTACCCCTCTCCCCAATCTCCCCATTCCCTGATACAATCCTCAAACTCCCAATCCCCAAAAGGCAGGTAACGCACTTGTAACGCCTCTGCTGTTCCGTGTGTCCATGGGCGACGCCGATTGCTTACCATCAGATGATCCGTCTGCTCGTTTGACCCCTATTCCATAAGAAAAACAAGTTTGATTAATAAAAATGTATTTCCCCCAGCATTTGGTCAGACAGCAACAACGAGCGCTCCGTCAGTGTTCGGGGGCTCCGCCCTCGGCACCACGGGGGCCTTCGGTGCTCAGAACACTTCGTTCTCCTTCGCAAATAATGCACAGACTACAAACACTACGGGACTGTTCGGAGCTAACAAACCTGCTTTTGGAGCCACAGTCCCTACTGGTGAGTTATATTCATTAACTAGCTGTACCCGCCATCTTCGTCTGCGTTTTTTTTTTTAATGTTGTCTATGTCACTTCTTAATACATGAGCTAGCTGCCTTTTTTCTTCTCCTCTTATAATATCTTCTGATTCACTTCGTTGCGGGAATCAAGACAGTTACTCATGTCCCTGGGACGCGCCGGACTTCAGTGTTCCGGTGTTTTCATGGTTGTATCTACTGTAGATCCTGGCTTACAGGATTTGCCCGCTGCCAATCCTGTAAGCCAGGATCTAAAGCTATCTTGTTCGCTTTGGGAGGTTGTGGCGGCCCAAAAAATTAAACTACCTGCCAATAAAAGTCGCGTCAAAATCGGTCCAGCCATTTCAGAGATTAGCAAATACAAACAGACAGACACAAAGGTGTTACTTTTGCATGTATGTAGTAAAAAGCGGATATTTCAATATTACAAACAGACACTCCAATTTTATTTATCGGTATAGATAAGTAAATATAATGTAATTTAGAAAGAAAGAAAGAAAGAAAAAACATTTATTTAGCACCAGGCACGATGCAGCATAAATAAAAAATAAAAAAAGACAATCAAGGTGTGACAGTGGAAGTGATAAAAATATAAGAGTTGAAAAATTGAAACAGAAGAATTAGAAGAGAGACGCTGACAACATGCCTATGCTAAAAGGGTCACCCACTCAGTGTAAGCCCGGCATACAGGTTACCCAGCACTGATTTTCAGTAGGCACCCATGCAGTGACGCACGGATGGTAGCAACGTTGTATGTTGTTGTTGTAATGGGGATGATGACAGGGTATGAAAATTAAAAATATAATTAGTCCGTAAGTTAGGTAATGAAAAAATATTAGACACGTATTTTTTTATTTTGTCGTATAATAAAACAATACTTAGATAAAACGAATCAAAGTTTAGGAGTGGGGGCTAAAACGTCATTCCTTAGTATAAAATGTACTGAGAAGTGACGTCACGCGACATTTCAAATCAATATATCTTCGAAACTATTCGTTTCTGTGAGAAAATAAAAAATACGTGTCTAATGTTTTTAAATAATCTATCAGACGGACATTAAAATAAAAATTAGTCGTCTACCCCATTTATTCCTGTTACAGGTGGAACTGGTCTATTCGGTACGACGACGACCCAGGCCCCTACGTTCGGCACTAATACGTCCACCTTTGGCTTCGGAACCAACACACAGAATCAGGTATGTAGCATACTTAACTTTTTTTTTTGTCTTCTCCTAAAGAAAAACATCGTGAGGAAACCTAGGCTTATAATTTCTAATTATAAGTTTGAAATCGCCAACCCGCATTGAGCAAGCGTGGTGAGTAATGCTCTAACCTTCTCCGTGTGAGAAGAGGCTTTGCTCAGCAGTGGGGCCTTCTCCTCTTATAATATCTTCTGATTCACTTCGTTGCGGGAACCAAGACAGTTACTCATGTCCCTGGGACGTTGGACTTCAATGTTCCGGTGTTTGCATGGTTGTATCTACTGTAGATCCTGGTGTACAAGAGTTGCAGCGGTTTTTGGAGGTTGTGGCGGGCTTGTCACAAAAAAAAAAAAACTTAACTCTACAATTGTGTACTTGCCAACTAGTAAAATTCAATACTTTTTTTTTTGAACTGTCAAAAACGAGAGTTTTCTATGAATTTTGTACGAGATTGTGTGTAGTGGTCAAACAGCATAGGTACTTATTTGTTAAAAATTTGCCGCTAAAATACTAAAATTAAGTTGGTCTTAAAATTAATTAATGAAATAAATAATTAATAATAAAATAAATAATAATTTAAGGTGTAAATATTTTAGTATTAATTATTTATTTCAATAAGAAGTGTAATATTAAGACTCCTATATAATAAATCATACCAAATTTCTATTTAAAATTAATGAAATTGTGATTGTTTTTTAATATCTTATTGTATTGAACAGTCGAAATAGTTTATTTTTGATTAAGGAAAGTACCCAATAGGGTAGTTTCCTAAACAGCGTGCGCGGTCGCGGCGACGATGTACGCGAGTAACCCGTAACTTTCAGTTGATTCAATATTTCTAATTATATATTATAATTAGTTATTATAAAATTATATTTATAATGTTTTTATAATAACTATCGTGAGACATACTAAATTAAGTAAAATCGCGGGTTACTCACGTGAATATACTGACAAAAGCTCTACTAGTTTCGAACCACAGAGGGGTTGTTCCTCATGAGCAGCGTGCGCGGTCGCGGCGACGTCGCGCAGCTCAAAACTAGTAGAGCTTTTGTCAGTATATTCACGTGAGTAACCCGCGATTTTACTTAATGTATTTATAATGTTTATATTTTTATGCTTTTTATATTTCATTTTTATGTTTTTATTTTGTAATGATAATATTTCCCATACAGCAACAATCCACGGGCCTCCTGTTCGGTGCCCCCAAGCCCGCCCAGCCAGCCTTCGGCGCGACCCCGGCCACCAGCGGCTTCGGGACCTTCGGGGGCGGCGGGGTCTTCGGGGCCAAGACACAGGCTCCTACGTTCGGGACACAGGCGCCTGGTGAGTTACGATTATAATGTTATATAGTAATTTCTAGAAATATTTTAAGAAGCTCGCAGGCATGAGGGTGTGAGTTTGAAATCATTCGGGGGGTTCAGTAGCAAGATAGTAGTAGTAAAGATTTTTTTATGGGATAAGCCGGTTAACGAGCTGACGGATCACCTGATGGAAAGCAATCGGCGTCGCCTATGGACACCTGGAACACCACAGGCGTTACAAGTGCGTTGCCGGCCTTTTGGGGATTAGAAATTTAGGATTGTGGGGATTTCCAATCTCCGAATTGGAGCCTTTGGTAAACTCACTCACACGATGAAACACCACGCGGCGTTGGTATCACTCCGGTGGAGCCGGCCCAGCAGTGCTGAAGCATGGCGAGCCTAAACTTAAATAGCCTTTCAGTAGTCGGGCGTTACACTTTTAGGGCATTTCCACTTTCTCTTAGAATATAAGGGACTATCTCCCATGGGGGTAGGCAGAGACTATGGAACGCCAATTGCTACGATTATTTTCTAACTAATATATTGTTTCAGCTTTCGGCTCAATGACGTCTGGTGGCTTCGGTACGAATACGTCGACGTCTAGCGGTGGACTGTTCGGAGGTCAGAACACTGGGTTTGGAAAACCCACCACTGCACCTACGTTTGGGTTCGGAACCACACCGCAAACTGGACTTGGTGAGTTGACTTAGTATGATTATTTCTTTAAAAGATCATTATGGAATTTATATACTATAAATATGACTGCCTTGTTGGCCGAGTGGTCGTAAGTGCGACTGCCGAGGAAGAGGTCTCGGGTTCGATTCCCGGGTCGGGCAAAGTATTACTTGGTTTTAAAATCTCATTAGTAGCACGGAGTCTGGAATTGTGCCCGGTATATGGCAATAGGCTCACCCCCTATTACATGGGACTCATAAAATAAGTAGTGAAAAGTGGGTGGCATTTGACCCCGTGTCCGGCAATCGCACTTGCGACTACAGTCAAATGAATTTATATACAACATGTAACTTAAATAACGCACATCCGTAAAAGAGTTTGTTCAGAATCGTCAACTGAATCGACTTATATAATTTTTAGTATATATAATTTTTTATCCCAAAAATAATTAAAACTACGGAAATTATTGTCATATTAACCCTGTATTGTTAAAACAAATCGAAATGGACCGTAAGTCAAAGCAATAAGACTTTTAAAATCGCAGTTTTATTTGTATTCATACAAATTGTATCATTCAATACAAAATAAAGAAAAATAAACCTTATGATAAGACTAGTAAGGATGCATATACATGTTAAATTAAAAATTTAGTGTATGTATTATGATTATAACGTAATATTCTAATTGGGGTGTTTGAGGGTGTGCGTTAATTACGTTACATGTTGTATATCTATGTAAATAAAAATTTAAAATGATATTTATTAAATTGTTATGCATAGGTACAGGTCTAGGCGGTGGTTTAGGCAGCAATACGTTCCAGGCCAAGCCCGCCGGCACGGCCTTCGGACAGATGACCAACACACCCTTCGCACAACCCGCCAATAATACCCTGTTCAAGACTGGTACGTATATTTTAAACAAACAAACTATTATATATCTCTCCTGCAGTAATTAGCCGAGGGAAGTGGAAACTATCGGTTTTTTCTTCTCCTCTTATAATATCTTCTGATTCACTTCGTTGCGGGAACCAAGACAGAATGAATATCGAAAATATCCTCTTTTAGAGTTAGCTAAAAATTAAATTATCTCTTAATACTTTATGTGCCTACAAACTCCTTATTTTCCTTTAGCTTTGAACCTTAGTATTTTTTTATTTTTTTTTTATTTGTCGCGGAGAACCTAACGGGTAACCGGGGCTCCGGCTCGACGTGCAGGAGAAGGAACGGGGTGGTTTTTAGTCAGTAAGAGTCTGACACTCCCTCCCGCCTCACCCGGGCGGGAGCAGTCATTCGATGATTTTCCCCCCTTAAAAAAAAAAAAAAGTATTTTTTATTTATATGTATATCTCTATTATTTGTATGATGCCTTGGTTTACCCTCGCTTTATATTATACTAGCTTTTACCCGCGGCTTCGCTCGCGTCACAAAAGAATAAAAAGTAGCCTATGTGACATATACCAATACACACAGCGCCATCTATACCAATACTTTTGTTTTTCCTCGGGAATATCAATTTTTTTCGGGTTAAAAAGTACCCTATTATTTAATCCGGACTTCTAACTTTACGTCTGCAAAAATTCAAAGCAATCGGTTTTGTAGTTACGGCGTGAAGGTGGAACAAACAAACAAACTCACTTTCAGATTTATAATATTAGTAAGGATAAGGATTTTATTTTTTGTAGTTTTTAGTTATGTGTGTTCTGCGCAAAAATAAATGGTTTTTTTTTTCTTTTCTTTCTTATAATATATATAATTGATTTGAAACACATTTAACCCTGTCTTCCCTTTTCTCCAGGTCTGGACACGTCTCTGGGCGGCGGGATATTCGGGAACAATACGTCTCTGACCGGCGGGATCGGGCTCGGCATGCAGAACAATCAGAATAATGTTCTCAAGTAAGTTCATTCATGTCAATGTTTTTATTGTTTAAACTGTCAACCATCGAGCGGACACCAGTGACCGCAACCTATTGTACTTTAATTGTGTCTAAAATGACGGTACTCAGAGTTAAGATCGCATACTTTTTTTTTTAATTTTTTCTGCATAACTTCTTGTATCACATGGGGGAAAGCAGAGACAATGGAACGCCAATTACTACATACCTCTTTCGCTTCATCAACAGTCATCAATCTTTTTAGGCTTATTTTTACTACATATACATCATATATACAAAAATAACATGCTTTACAATTTTTATCTGTCTGTATGTCTGTCTATCTGTCTGTCTGTGAGTTCTGGCTGATAATCTCTGAAATGGCTGGACTGATTTTGACAGGAATTTTATTGGTAGGCAGCGGATGTACTGAGGACTAACTTAGGCTAGTTTTTCCACGCGGCCAACACGAACATTTCGCTAGCTCAAACATACATACTTGCATAACTTCACGCCTGTCTCCCAACGGGGTAGGCGGAGACTATGAAATGCCAGTTGCTACGATTCCTACATACCTCTCTCGCTTCATCAACAGTCATCATTATTTTCATGCCCGTTCTAAATAAATGTTATATTAAACTAGCGGACCCAACAGACGTTGTCCTGCATATCCACTTGAATGTATAAACAAAAATTCATTCAAATTAGTTCAGGTGTTTAGGATAAATAACCTAAACATCGACTGCAACGCCATCTGCCAGGCTGATTTGTGAATCTAAACCATTCCTAGATCCCCTTGAACACACACAAAAAATTTCATCAAAATCGGTCCAGTCGTTTGAGAGAAGTTCAGTGACATACACACTCACAGAAGAGTTATATATATAAAGATATACAATGTTTTGTTCCAGCAACTCCCTGTCCGGGTCGTCCGCGGGCGGCAATGTCCACGAGCAGATACTGACGCTGGCAGCGCGACCATACGGAGACTCGCCCCTGTTCAAAGACCTATTGCCTGACTCTTGTAAGTAATATTTATGTATTTACTAGCTTCTGCCCGCAACTTCGTACGCGTAATCCCATTAAGCATTTATAGGCTGTTTGTGGTGGTGGAAAGCATCAGATAATCACAGGATTTTTAAACCATAATTCATTTCTGTTTTCTAGCAACGACAGCAGAAGACGTCTTAAAACCGACGAACCCGGCTGCGGTTCAAGCCGTGCTGGACCGCACGGGGTCCGCCCAGTACCGGGTTACATCCCCGGCCGGGCCCCGCCTGGCACTCACGCCGCGCTCCGCTCTGCACCACGATAAGGTATCTCCTACGCAGGTGCTGCATGATAAGGTAGATATTACTAACATGTTTTAACAAGATGGAGGGCGAAAATCTCATGAAAAACAGTCAGGTTTAGATGATAATACTATGTTTTTTGTCGTTGCGCAACGGTTTTGCTATATGCGCAACGGTTTTGCAAGTAGCGCAAAGGTTTTACAAGTAGCGCAATGGTTTTATAAGTAGCGCAACGGTTTTACAAGTTGCGCAACGGTTTTACAAGTAGCGCAACAGTTTCACATCGTTTATAATTTGAATCAACAGTTCCTGGACGTTTTAAGCAATGTATTTTTGTTTGCGCAATGAATTAAACAACAAAAATTGCGTATTAAGTGCTTTATTTACCACCTAATCACTCGGTCTAAAAGTTTTCCTAGCTGCGTAAAAGTTTTAATTTGCTACAACCCTGTGGCTTCACTCGCTTCTCAGCTCCTATCGGTCATAGCGTGATATTTTATAGCCTATAGGCTTCCTAGCCTTCTTCGATTAATGTACTACCCAAAGATTTAATCAAATCGGACCTATAGTTTCATAGATTAGCGCGTTTAAACAAAGAAACCAAAGGCCCAATTATCCAGTCTCCCCAATCCCCCGAATCCCCCATAATCCTCAAATTCCCAATCCCCAAAAGGCCGGTAAAGCACTTGTAACGCCTCTGGTGTTCCGTGTGTCCATGGGCGACGCCGATTGCTTACCATCAGGTGATAGGTATGTGATCCGTCTGCTCGTTTACCGGCTTATTCCATAAAAAAGAAACTGTTCAATTAATTCCATATTCTGTATGGTTCTGATAGCTTAGGCAACCGAAATAGAATTAATATTACTTCTTGCTTACTAACAAACTGCATGACGCTTTTAGGGTCGATTTTTCCAAAGCCAGATAAATTTTAACTAAAGAATAACTTTGAATATTTGACAATATTGTTCCATACTAAAAACTGTCTCGTTGGCCAAGTGGTCGCAAGTGCGACTGCCGGGCAAGGGGTCGGGCAAAGTATTACTGTGTTTTAAAAAAAAACTCAGCAGTAGCACGGACTCTGGAATTGTGCCCGGTATATGGCAATAGTCTCACCCCCTATTACATGGGACTCGTAACATAAATAGTGAAAAGTAGGTGTTACATTATACAGTGGCATTAAGTGCCGTAATTTGCACCTCTGCTTACAACTGCGAGGATAAAAGGCGTGATGTTATGTTACAAAAACTGTTACAATTTTATTCTACAGTTAAAAAGAAACTGATGATTGAAAAATCGGCCCTTAGAATATTGTTTGCGCATTTTTTAATGTGATGTATGTGCATGAATGACCTTTACTAATATGATAAAAGTGTGTTTTTTTCGTTTGTCTTTATTACTCCTTAACTTATTAGTCATAAAAACATAAAAACCTCAAATCTGATCTGATCACCAAAGGGCCTTTAGGGAACAGATTTTTTAGGGCTATCACATCCACCCAAAGGTTGTCTGGTAGAAACCACTAAGTGATAAGACCGCCTTTGTGCACATTTATCATATCAGCCATAGGATGTCCACTGCTGAACATAGGCCTCCCCCAATGATTGATTGAATGATATGATTAGCTAGCTCCAATGAACAAACCAATCAGAGGGGCAAGTACGAATAACTATCGTTCGTAACAGTATCGAGCGAGTTAAGCGTTCTGATTGGTTGGTTCACTTGAGCCGGCCAATCAGAGGCCTTAGTATGAGTTTCTTTTTCGTTTAATGTAATTGAAATGTCGTGGTGGCCCGGAGGTTTAAGACGCCCACTTCTCATGCATGAGGGTGCGGGTTCGAAACCTACCAACGGCAAGTACCAATGTGACTTTTTCCGAGTTATATGTACTTTCTAAGATTATTTAGACACCACTGACAAACGGTGGAGGAAAAACATCGTGAGGAAACCTGGACTTATAATTTCTAATTATAAGTTTGAAATCGCCAACCCGCATTGAGTAAGCATGGTGATTAATGCTCTAACCTTCTCCGTGTGAGAAGAGGCTTTGCTCAGCAGTGGGCATTTATAGGCTGTTGATGATGAATTGAAACGAGACGGCGTTCTGTGTTCTGATTGGTTGGTTCACTTGAGCTGGTCAATCAGAGCGCCGAACGTGCTCGATACTATTACGTTACGAATGCGATAGTTATTCGTGCTTGGCACTCTGTGCACCGAACGCCGTCTCGTTTCGATTACTTTAAATTAAACGAAATAGAAAATTATACTAAGCCCTCTGAAGACCGAGCTCAGTGGCGTGCCATTGGAGAGGCTTATGTCCAGCAGTGGACGAAAACAGGCTGTTGATGATAAATATAATAATAAAGTCGGTATACGGGCGAAAATTTTACGTGACAACGACTTTGAGTGGTAAAATATTATGTCTGTCTCTCTCGCTCTTAGGCGGGCTAACCATGCCCGAGTAGAAAGGACGCGTGCCTCTCACTCGCTCTCATTGTGAGCGCATAACGTGAGCGGAGCGTAACGCAGTTTCTTGAAGTGTCACCCGGCAAACCAATCAATAAGACGTTGTCACGTCAAAAAATATTATATTCTATTCTATATTTTTACAGAAATCCCTATTTGATGGCCTGGAAGAATCGGACGCTAGCTTAGAAGATAAACTCAGTTTGAAGCCAAGCCGCAAACGTCTGGTACTACGACCGAACCAGAGAGCAAATGAGAGTCATCAGGACAGCATCGATCATAGCAACAATGATAATGCCAGGTTAGTATTCTTCGCTTCCTGTGGGTCTATTATACCTACTGGGTAACATAACATAACATAACATCACGCCTTTTATCCCCGAAGGGGTAGGCAGAGGTGCACATTATGACACTTAATGCCACTGTACAATGTAACACTCACTTTTCACTATTTATGTTATGAGTCCCATAGAAAAGCGAATTAACTATTCTGTTCAATCAAATAAAGAACGGGTTGCAAACTTGAAAATATACGTCACAGAAAAAATATCCAATCGGTGCGCGTTTCTCGTACACCCGTGTGTACAATTGCGCGATGGGCACTCAACTCTCTCGTACACCCGTGTGTACGAGAAACACGCGAGAGGTTAAGTACCAAAATGTGCACCTATGCCTAACCCTTCGGGGATAAAAGGCGTATAATGTATTTTCTCATAACAATAATTGTAACTTTGTTCTTTCCCTAACCAGGTCAATGGAGGAGCTTCGTGCCAACGGCGCCCCCCACGACGTTGGCTCCGACCAACAAAACATAGATGAAGTGGACCGCAGACAGGAGGAATATGTCTCTTTGAAGGACGCTGGGAGACGTAAGTACACAGTTTCATATAAATACTAGCGTCTGCCAATGGTTTCGCCCGCGTTCCTGTGGGAAAAATGTAGGCTTAGTGTTATTCTCCGGCCACCGTAAGCCCGTAAGACGGCGAGCATGGGTAGCTCCGACCAGAAACAGACCCGAGCGTGTAGCGCGACACAATGAGCCATCAGACCACCACGGATGGGGCCCAATAGCGCTGATGCCGATACGGAGTCGCGGAGAACTTAACGGGTAACCGGGGCTCCGGCTCGACGTGCAGGAGAAGGAACGGGGTGGTTTTAGTCAGTAAGAGTCTGATACTCCCTCTCCAGGCCGGAGCAGTTATTCGATGATTTTCCCCTTTAAAAAAAAAGGTTATTCTCGACCATTTGACCCCTGTTTCAAATTTCATCCCCATTCCTTCAGCCCTTTTATCGTGGGTGAATAATAAGCATTCACACAAAATTCACTAACAAAATTTCGCATTTACTTTCTTTCTTTAATTGTTAACATTTCAAGTGCATAAATGACGAAATAAATTCAAAATTTACTGATTATTTATTTAAACATCAAACGCAAAGCACTTATGACTCAGGCCCCGCCTACATTATTTTTTTTATGGAGCAAGCAGGTAAACGAGCATACGTATCACGATCACCTGATGGTAAGCAATCGGCGTCGCCCATGGACACCTGGAACACCAGACGCGTTACAAGTGCGTACCGGCCTTTTGGGAATGGACATTATCTTTATATGTCGACTGCACGGTTGGTACGGTGGTTGGGCAACCGACTGCCGTGCAACGTGTCCCGGGTTCGATGCCCGCACGGAACAACACTTTGTGTGATCCACAAATTGTTGTTTCCGGGTCTGGGTGTCATTGTGTATGTGAACTTGTATGTTTGTAAACGCACCACGACACAGGAGACAATCCTAGTGTGGGGCAACGTTTAAAAAAAAAAAATAGAGTGTGTATGTCACTGAACTTCTCTCAAACAACTGGACCGATTTTGATGAAATTTTTTGTGTGTGTTCATGGGGATCTGGGAATGGTTTAGATTCACAAATCAGCCCGGCAGATGGCTCGGCGATGTTTAGGTTATTTATCCTAAACAGCTGAACTAATTTGAATGAATTTTTGTTTATACATTCAAGTGGATATGCAGGACAACGTCTGTTGGGTCCGCTAGTTTGTTTATATGAATCTGCATCTGATAAAAGTCCGCATTGATTGGTGCGGATGTGAATGCGTATACGGATGCTAATATTCTTAACACATTTTTAATATTCCAATTGTTATGATTTTTGTTACAGAAGTCGATGTAAGCGTTGGTTCCGACAAACATGGCAGTTGGTAAGTTCCCTGTGATTCTATGTCCTTATATATTTTCTGTAATTTTGTATTTTTACATAATTCCTGTAATTTTAACTTTTGAGCGCCGCGGTCAGCTGTAGACGACAAAAAAAACTAGGCAAAAAAATCGTATTTAATAAAAAATGCATAAGTCGTTCACAATGAATGTTAAAACTACTGAATAAATTTTAATGCAGTTTAAACTCGTAAATAGTGAATTTGGAGAAAGAATTAACGATGATTTTGAGAAAGAATCGACTGCACGGTTGATGCGGTGGCTGGGCAACCGGCTGCCGTGCAACGTGTCGCGGGTTCGATTCCCGCACGGAACAACACTTTGTGTGATCCACAAATTGTTGTTTCGGGTCTATAACTGTAACTTGTATGTTTGTAAACGCACCCACGACACAGGAGAAAATCCTAATGTGGGCAATATTTAAAAAAAAATCGCAATTTATGTAATATTTTATATTTTTTTGTTAACAGGCTTAGTGGATCAAAGATGTGGAATGATAAGGAGCGTCCTATTGACGGAGAACCTACACCTAGGCTGTATCCTAATATTGGTACGTTGATTTTATTTACTATTCTACATAACATAACAAACATCACGCCTTTTATCCCATAGGCGTAGCCAGAGGTGCACATTACGGCACTTCATGCCACTGTACAATGTAACACCCAATTTTCACTATCTATGTTATAAGTCCCATGTAATAGGGGGTGAGTCATAACCATATACCGGACACAATTGCAGACTCCGTGCTACTACTGAGATTTTTTTTAAAACACAGTAATACTTAGCCCGACCCCTTGCCCGGCAGTCGTACTTGCGACCAGTCAGCCAACAAGGTAGTCGTTATACTTTTTTACTGAGTAAATAATCTAATTCCAGACAAAGACATCCAAGCGCAAGTAACAGAGCGACGCGCAAGTTGGTTGACAACCAAACCGCTGCGCAAACCGCTGTCCAACAACCCGGAGTCCGCCGAACATTCCGTCAGGGAGCTGGGGGTGAGGGGGGACTCCTCGCATGACAAGGAGAACGTCGATACTCTGTCCGGTAAGATTTCATAGTAACCCTTTGAGTACCGTCATTATAGACACAATTAAAGAACAATATATTGCGGTCACCCGGTGTCCTCGCGGTGTTTGACAGTTTAAAAAGTGTATAGGTGAAAAATGGTCTAAATTTAGTAAATATCAGGTATAGTTATTTGCGTAATCATTATAACTGTTTTGCGCAACAATTTTGGCCTTTGCGTAACCATTTTGGCGTTTGCGCTACCGTTGCGCAAAATTATTGTAGGTCTAAACTAGATATAACCATATACACACCGGAACACTGAAGTCCAATGTCTCAGGGACATGAATAACTGTCTTGGTTCCCGCAACGAAGTGAATCAGAAGATATAATAAGAGAACTATACAAACATAAAATTCTCCAATCACTAAAAATGTTATTGAAATTTCAAATTTATACACGGTACAACGAAAACCTCCACACAACCTACTAATCCCTTACTCCTTCCTCAATAATCCACTCCAACTCCTACTCCCTCCCAGTGACGAACCTGGACCGCGTCCAAACGCTCCAGTTCTGCCGACACCGCTCCGGAGAGCAAGCGGGATGTTCGCGTTGTGAGAAAATTGCACATCAAATCGGAGGACTATATGGTTAGCGTATACAATCAAGTCGTTCTCACAAACCTCTCCTAAATTGTAAGGAGCTAAGATATGTAATACTAACTTCTGCCCGTCGCTTCTCCCGCGTTACCGTGCGATTTAAAGTAGCCTATGTGATTATATCACACCATAATCTATCCCTGTTCCAAATTTCATCCTGATCCCTTCAGCCTTTTTAACGTTTACAATGCCACTGTACAATGTAACACCCACTTTCCACTATTTATGTTATGAGGCCCATGTAAAGGGGGTGAGTCTATTGCCATATACCGGGCACAATTCCAGACTCCTTACTACTACTGAGAATTTTTTAAAAACCCATCAGTACGTACTTTTTCCAACTCCTGATTACTGGCTCCATCCAAAGGTGCGATAAGACCGCCCATTGTACACATTCTTTTGTGTTTATTTTCTATGTATGTTTTCATGGTGTACAATAAAGTGTAAATAAAATAAAATACTTTGCCTAACTCGGGAATAGAATCCTATCCCCCTTGCCCGGCAGTCGCAATTGCGACCACTTGGCCAACGAGGCAGTCAGAAGAAAAAAAATGATAATCTTATTAAACTTTAATTTTATTATAGTATCCGAAGAAGAGAATGTATCGCCGCGTGAAGCGCCGCCTCACCCGACCGGGGTCAAGCTGACCCGGCCCGGGTACTATACCATACCGTCGCTGGACGAGATGATCGGTGAGTTCATATTATCACTACTTAGTAACTCTCGCTCATATTCACCCTCTTTGCTCGGCACCTATTTACCGTAGCGTGAAAATTTATAGTCTAATTGTTGAAAAATTGATTTCGTTTCGTGATTCTATTTCTTAAATTTAACACAAAACCAAACAAAATTCAAACTTTCATTGTTTTCAACAATAAAAATTTTAAAGAGCATAAAATAAAATAATTCAACACCAAAATTAAATTAACCTAAAATCGTGACAAAAGTTGCGGTTTCTTTCTACCTTTTGTCACAAGAAAATCGACACGAAATCAATTGTTTTCTGTATTAATAACAATTATATTAAATGTAATATATAAATATGCCGAAACTGGAACCGGAATTTTCCCGAAAAAAATGTTGTAGTAAGGAAATCTCCACTTTTTGTTTTTGTTCCTTGAAGTTTAGGTAAATTAGCTCACCTTTTTCCGATCACTGCTCATCATATATGACATTGTCTATAACTCAACATTACATTCTACTCACAAGATAAAGATTAAATTTATTTATTTAACACTTTATGTACAACTGTATACAATGGCGGACTTAATGCCGAATGGCATTCTCTACCAGCCAACTATAGGGTGATGCAGAGAAGTGTTACAGTAAGTTTTAAAAAAAAATAAAAGCGAGGGTGATAAATGTACGTACATATATATAAAGGTATCCTATCCTCCTATAAAGGTATAAATGTATCAAATTATTAATCATATTATTTTATTTTTCATATTCATAATTCGTATTATATTCGTAATCATATTATTTTTCCCCCCCTCAGCGTACATGCGTCCCGACGGTTCGTGCGTTGTACCCCACCTAACGATCGGTCGCAAGAACTACGGCAACGTGTACTACGACACTGAAATCAATGTCGCTGGCATGGACCTCGATAGCTTGGGTGAGTCTCATTATAACTTGGTAAATAAGAATAGAATAATTTATTTGAATACTAGCTGTGTTCGCGACTTGTGAAGACGAGTGATTCACAGCTCCTCCCCCGTATGTAGATATATATAGGTAGATAATATGTAGCCTATATGTTGACCCAGCCTATCAGCAGCACTTTATGAGTTCATCCCGGACATACATACAGACAGCGGAGAACTTAGCGGGTTGCCGGGGCTCCGGCTCGAAGTGCAGGAGTAGGAACGGGGTGGTTTTTAGTCAGTAAGAGTCTGAAAAAAAAGCAGATAAACAGAAAAAAAAATCTAAAAACCATATTTTTGGCTTCGATATCGATTACAGATTACGCCCCGAGCGTTCTATTATAAAAAAAATTCAATGTACTGTGGGTTTTTTTTATTAAAAAACGTTGCCCCACACAAGGATTTTGTTCTGTGTCGTGCGTGCATTTACAAACATATAAGTTCACATACACAATGACACACAGATACCGAACAATAATCTGTGAATCACAGTAAGAGTTGTTCCGTGCGGGAATCGAACCCGGGACACGTTGCGCGGCAGTCAGTTGCCCAGCCAGCCAAACGTGCAGTCAATTAATTCGTATCACATACTAATCTATTATTTTTATATTCCAGTACACTTCTTGAACAAGGAAGTAATAATTTACCCCGATGAGTCGGAGAAGCCGCCATTAGGGGAAGGCCTTAACCGACGCGCCATTGTTACACTGGACCGCGTCTGGCCGAGGGACAAGAGTGAGAAGAGAGCTATCACTGATCCGGAGAGGTAAAATAAGCTAAATTCTATTATAAACAACTGTACAGTCTTCAACGGTACATAGATATTTTGCGCTGACATTAACACGTCGAGCGTCCGCGTTCCTTATGATGCAACGGGTGCACACGTGACATTTGGAGAAAGAAAGCAAGAAAATGCATTTATTTGGCCATTGGCACACGAAAACAAGGATCATTACGATAGAAATAAAAAATACAGTCAAAATAAAAACAAAACATTAATAATGAATTTTTAAAAGAGAAAGCAGCATGGAGCATTTTTTCTTATGATCCACCGGGTGCTCATAAGGACGCTCGAGGGGTTAAGATCGGTTCGATCGCGCGATATTACTTAGGTATATAATCACATGTCAAGTAATTATCGACTATCGACCAGTGTGTTTTTACTAACAACGAATTAAACACTTAATGAGAACGGCGTAGGGTAGGTGCCTAATTTTTATTTTAATGTCCGTCTGGTAGATTATTTCAAATCATTAGACACGTATTATTTATTTTCTTAAAGAAACGAATACTTTCGACGATACATTGATTTGAAATGTCGCGTGACTTCACTTCTATGTACATTTTATACGTAGAAATGACGTTTTATCCCCCACTCCTGAACTTTGATTCGTTTTATCTAAGTACTAGCTTATACACGCGGCTTCGCTCGCGTCACAAAAGAATAAAAAGTAGCCTATGTGACATATACCAATACAGACAGCGCCATCTATACCAATACTTTTGTTTTTCCTTGGTAATATCAATTTTTCCGGGTTAAAAACTACCCTATTATTTAATCCGGACTTCTAACTTTACGTCTGCAAAAATTCAAAGCAATCGGTTGAGTAGTTACGGCGTGAAAGTGGAACAAACAAACAAACTCACTTTCCGATTTATAATATTAGTAAGGATTACACGACAAAATACGTGTCTAATATATTTTCATTAACACTGTTTATAATTCTATTATCATTTCTCTACAGGTTAGCGAAAATGGAATACGAATGGAAACTACGTCGCGTATGTGACAAGCACAATACGAAGTTCATAGAATACCGACCTAGCTCCGGTAGCTGGGTGTTCCGTGTCGAACATTTTAGTAAATACGGTCTAACTGACTCCGATGAAGATGATGATGTACCGGAGCTGATGAAGAGGCAGCTGGTCACTCAGGTGATGCAGAAGACTGCTGCGCCGGGTAAGTGGAATTGTGTTTTTATTCTTACATACATACATAACATCACGCCTTTTATCCCCGAAGGGGTTTTTTTTTTAAGGGGGGAAAATCATCGAATGACTGCTCCCGCCTGGGTGAGGCGGGAGGGAGTGTCAGACTCTTACTGACTAAAAATCACCCCGTTCCTACTCCTGCACGTCCCCGAAGGGGTAGGCACAGGTGCACATTGCGGCACTAAATGCCACTGTACAATGTAACACCCACTTTTCACTATTTATGTTAGAAGTCCCATGTAATAGGGGGTGAGCCTATTGCCATATACCGGGCACAATTCCAGAGTCCGTGCTACTACTGAGATTTTTAAAAACCCAGTAATACTTTGCCGGACCTGGGAATCGAACCCGAGACCTCTTGACCAGCAGTCGCACTTGTGCCCACTCGGCCAACGAGGCAGTTTTTATTCTTCTTATAACTTTTCAATCCTCAAGCGGTCACTGGTGACCGCTCTGCATTTACTCCATTACAGACTTTATTTCCGATGTTTAGAGACTACTTTTGTATGAATAAATTTTGGAGAATAGGTCACTTGCCTATATTTTATTTTAATGTCCATCTGGTAGATTAATTTAAAACTTTAGTCACGTATTTTTTATTTTCTCACAAAATTAAATACTTTCGACGATATATTAATTTGAAATATCGTGTGACGTCACAGCGTGCCACATTTTGTAGCACGTTATGACGTAACAACCTCCCACTCCTAAAGTTAGCGCCATTTTATCTAAATGTTACAACTTAAAACGAGAAAATTTTAAGAACAACAACTAGTCAAATTCAATACATTTTTCGAACTGTTAAAAACGACAGTTTTCTATGAATTTTATATTGTTAGAGATTGTGTATTGTGACGTCATGTTTTTAAGCGCCAAACAGCGTAGTTATTTCTTAAATATATGCTAGAAAAATACTAAAATTAAGTTGGTCAGAAAATCAATTAATGAAAGTGTGATTATTTTTTATTATTGTATTGTATTGAACAGTCGAAATAATTTATTTTTGATTAAACAAAATACCCAATTTACCATTTACTTCTACAGTATTCTGAAATAATAATTGTTTCTCAACCCTACAGCCCCCAAGCAGCCCGTCGCGACCCCATCGGTTGGACTGGGGGGTCTCGGAGCCCCTCCACTGATCCCCGAAGACAATCTATTCGCAATACAACAAACTTCACTGAACCTACTCAATGGCGCCGGGAAAGGTATGTATACTTAACTTAAAGGTTTTATAATTTGAAGATTAGTACATTGGCTGAAAGATCAGCTGCGTGTTTCGGGGTCGATGCAAAATAATACGCTCGGTTGTCATACAGATACGTACGTGTGAGTAATTAAATACGTACGTACGTATACATGTGAGTAATTAAATCACAATCATAAACCCGATAACGTTTCTAACGACTGGTGGGGGGGGGGGGGGTCAGGCGATACATGTACTATACTAGTGTGGGCTCGCTATGCTTCGGCACAGCTGGGCCGGCTCCACCGGAGTGACACCACCGATGTGGCGGTGTGGGTCGTGGAAGTTACCACCGGAGGTCCAATTACCCCCCTCCCCAATCCCTTATTCCCCATTCCTAACAATCGTTCAACTTCCCCAAAATACCAGTAACGCACTTGTAACGCCTCTGGTGTTCCGTGTGTCCATGGGCGACGCCGATTGCTTACCATCAGGTGATCCGTCAGCTCGTTTACCGGCTTATCCCATAAAAAATACAATATACATATATGAATTGAATAAAACTAACCAACTCCACGTAAAAGAGCCATGCTTCGGCACGAATGTGTGCGCTCGACCGGAGTGATACCACGGCTGAACATACGCCGATGTGAAACAACCATAGAGTTATGATTCCCCGCGTGAATGAGGTTACCGGAGTTACAATCATCCCTAATCCTCAAATCCCGAATCGCCCAAAAAGCCGGCGACGCACTTGTAACGCCTTTGGTGTTCCCTGTGTCCATAGACGCCGATTGCTTACCATCAGGTGATCCGTCTGCTCATTTAGATTAAAAGTTGCTGATAGCCCATATTAATGAAAACAGTTTAACTTTCATCCCTAACAGGTACCGAAATGACGACATATGCGTTTAATCCTACATATGGACCCCAGGCTGGGGTCTTAGTTGACCCCAGGGGGGCCATAGACCCCAGGGCCCCCAATGACCCAGAAATCCCTTCAGCGCCGTACAACGAGGAGTATGTTCTACAAAAACGCGTCGCTAAAGCAATGCTTTGCACGAATATGTGTCTTATAACCGTAGTGTTAGTGGTCATTATTGTGTCTTTCGTTTTTATCTTTATGTTCTTTATGTTTTTTAGGAAATAAGTCGTAATTACTATTTAGAAATCGCTAAGAAATATCAAATTTATGTATATAATAATATGTTATAGAATAAACACCATTGTACTTCGTTCCCTTACAATACAGAAACCTTGATGTTATAATACATAGATGTAAATATACAAACGTTTATACTTAATACATAGTTTTGTTATAAATAGTTCAATATTTGTCAAAGTCAAAGCATTTGTTTTAATTAAACCATATTTTGGTAGTTTTGAAACGTCAACAAATACAAAATAAATAATAGTCTGTCAGTCAGTCCGTCAGTGAAGCTAGGTCTTGTCTATTAACAGCCCCATTGCTGCACTACTGGACCATAATTTCTAATTATAACTTTATAATCGCCAACCCGCATTGAGCAAGCGTGGTGGTTAATGCTCAAACCTCCGTGTGAGAAGAGGCTTTGCTCAGCAGTGGGCATTTATAGGCTGTTGATGATGATGATGAATTTGTAGTTTATTAGATAAGTATTTAAGTACCTATAATATATGATAATGATAAGTAATTTATTGTTGTTTTATAAGACTCTAATACAATATTTTTCATGTACCTTAGTTTAAATTGAACAGACTCTCGCTTAGATGATGCGAGAGGGTGTGTCAGACTATTAATAACTAAAAACCACCCCGTTCTTACTCCTGCACTTCGAACCGGATCCCCGGTAACCTGTTAGGTTTTTCGCGACTCCGTATCGGCATCAGCCTTATTGGGCCCCATCCGTGGTGGTCTGATGGCTCTTTGTGTCGCGCTACCCGCTGGACGCCGTCCGCTCGGGTCTGTTCCTGGTCGGCCGACGAGCCACCCATGCTGTATGTCCTCCGGCCCGCGCTTACGGTGGCCGGAGATTGTCCCGCGATCCCCGACGCCCGGACTGTCTCTCGCGACGGTTGGGGCGTAGATTTGTGAGTCGCTACGTGTATTATACGGACTGTGTTGCGTGTGTCCGTGGGCGGCGTAGATTGCTTACCATCAGGTGATCCGTACACTCGGTTCTCCTGTCCTGTGAAATAGTGCTTCCCAATTAGAATGTACGGATAAGTCTCAAGATAAATAAGTGTAATCCATAGTATTAGCTATTTAATCACTATATAGTATAAAGTTGTACCCTAGTCTGTCTGTCCCTATGTATGCTTAGATTTTTGAACCTACGCAACAGATTTTGATGCGGTTTTTGTAATAGATAGAGTGATTATTCTTAAGCGATATTTATTTGTGTAATTTATGTATTTTAAGCTTCATAGTTAAGTGTTTGTATCAAGGTTATTATTAAAATAAAATAGGATAGTACATATATACTTTATTGTAAACCTTATATTAAAAAAAGAGATCGAATTAAAATGTACTGTATAAGCTTGTCCGTCGTACGTTAATTTTCCCGAAAAATACATACATATATAACATAGCATAACACAACACCTTTTATCCCCGTAGGAGTAGACAGAGGTACACATTACTGCACTTAATGCCACTGTACAATGTAACACTCACTTTTCACTATTTATGTTATGAGTCCCATGTAATAGGGGATGACCATATTGCCATTGCTCAAATTCTAAACTCCATGCTACTACTGAGAATTTTTAAAAACCTCAATAATACTTTGTCCGACCTGGGAATTGAACCCTAGACCTTTTGTCCCGGCGGTCGCGCTTGCGACCACTCTAGCAACGAGGCAGACATTTTACTTGTAATGTGCTCCTCTGCCTATCCTTACGGGGATAAAAAGTGTGATGTTATGTTAAAGATATAAGATAAGTAGCATGCATTAAGGGTTGAAATTTGTGAAATCTCCAAAACTTCCCTTTGTGTTGAATTTTGAGAAATTATTTAATAATCCTGTATTAAGGATCTATTCGTTCACCTAATGAATCTCGGGTTCGATCCCCGGGTCGGCTAAAGAGTTGTTCGAAAAATATCAGTGATAATGAAAGAAAGAAAATTGTTTAACATTTTGTCTGTCGATATATGAGACAGTAGGCGCATTGTGTCTCGCTTCAAGGGGGGATAATTATCGAATTACTGCTCCCGCCTGGGTGAGGCGGAAGGGAGTGTCAGACTCTTACTGACTAGAAACCACCCCGTTCCTTCTCCTGCACGTCGAGCCGGAGCCGCGGTTACCCGTTAGGTTCTCCGCGAATCCGAATCGGCATCGGACCTATTGGATCCCATCTGTGGTGGTCTAATGGCTCTTTGAGACGCACGCGGAACGCTACGCGCCGTACGCTCGGGTCTGTTTCTGGTCGGACGGGGAGCCACCCATGCTCGCCGTCCGCAGTCCCGTGCTTACTGTGGCCGGAGATCGTCTCGCGATCCCCGACGCCCGGTGTGTTCTTCGCGATCCCCAAAGGGATAGGTAGCACATTATGGCACCTAATGTGACTATACAATGTAACACCCACTTTTCACTATTTATGTTACGACATTTTATTTGTTTCTATATAAAAAAAATATGTTAACTATTAACCCTTTGAGTACCGTCATTATAGACACAATTAAAGAACAATACACCCGCGGGAAGACTAGGGGTGGTGTCAAATGTATTATCCCACATCATCAGCCTATAAGTGCCCACTTCAGACCATAGGTTTCTTTTCACACGGAGAAGGTTTGAGCATTAATCACCACGCTTGCTCAATGCAGTTTGGCGATTTCAAACTTGTAATTAGAAATTATAAATAAACTAAAAGTCGCGGGCTACTCTGATAGCTTTTCTCAGTATATTCGTTGCGCGACATCGCCGCGACCGCGCACGCTGCTCATGAGGAAGAACCCCTCTGTAGTTCGAAACTAGTAGAGCGTTTCTCAGTATATTCGCTGCGCGACATCGCCGCGACCGCGCACGCTGCTCATGTGGAAGAACCCGTCTGTAGTTCGAAACTAATAGAGCTTTTCTCAGTATATTCACGTGAGTAACCCGCGATTTTTAGTTAATTTAATATGTCTATGTTATATGTATTAGCGTCGCCCATGGACACTCGAAACACCAAAGCGTTACAAATACGTTACCGACCTTTTGGGGATTTCGAGTTTGACGATCGTTGGGGATTCAGGAATTGGGGAGATTGGGGAAGGGTAGGGTAATTGGGCCTCCGGTAACCTCACTCACACGACGAAACACAACGCAAGCGTTGCTTCACGTCGGTTTTCTGTGTGGCCGTGGTTTCACTCCGGCCCATTCGTGGCGAAGCATGGCTCTCCCACACTTAAAATTGGATTGGACAATCTAAATAATTTATTTTTGACCCAGGAAAATACCCAATTGACAAGTCACACTGTCTATTTAATGTTTATAATGTTATATTTTTGTTTCAGCATTTGAAATGGATACGACGGAAGATAACGCCGAGTCGCAGAGCTTGTACTTAGATAACAAAGGTAAATACTCGTTTTCATTAATTAATTGGTTAAACAAAAATAAGCCTTCGTCATAACATTTTTAAGATTTAGTATAAAATAAATGCCTTGTTAGTCGCCTTAAGTGTGGGAGAGTCATGCTTTGGGTCGAAAGGGCTGGCTTGACTGGAGTGATACCACGGCCCAGCAGAACGACCCGACGTGAAACAACGCTCGCGTTGTGTTTCATCGTGTGAGTGAGGTTACCTAAAGCCTAATTCCTCGCCCCCACAAATCTCCCCAATTCGTGAATCTCCAACAATCCTCAAATTTCTAAAGGCCGGTAACGCACTTGTACTGAACAAGAAGATCGATTCGTGGGTCAAGCGAACTATGTCACTGTTATATTTTGATTTTTGAATCTACCTAAGACCTCGGGGTCTAAAAAGCGTGATTTTACTTTAGTCAAATCATAACATCACGCCTTTTATCCTCAAAGGGGTAGGCAGAAGCAAACATGACAGCACTTAATGCCACTGTACAATGTACAAGCACCCACTTTTCACTATTTATGAGTCCCATGTAATAGGGGGTGAGCCTATTGTCATATACGGGGCAAATTTCCAGACTCCATGCTACTACTGAGATTTTTTTTTAAAACCCAGATATACTTTGCCCGACCCATGAATCCAGCCCGATACCCCTTGTCCGGCAGTTACTTTCCTCAACATCTAATATTATGTTTTCTTTCTCAGCGTTCGGTGTAAAGAGCCCTACAAGTGAACTGGCGCGGCTGGAACATCGACAGAGTCACAACGTGCAGTTGATGAAGGCGTCTTTGTATGCTGATACAGGTATATCCTTACTATTATAAATCGGAAAGTGAGTTTGTTTGTTTGTTCCGATTTTACGCCGTAACTACTAAACCGATTGCTTTGGAATTTGAATTTTTGCAGACGTAAAGTTAGAAGCCCGGATTAAATAATAGGGTACTTTTTATCCCGGAAAATTTCGATATTCCCGAGGGAAAACAAAAGAATTGGTATAGATGGCGCTGTGTGTATTGGTATATGTCACATAGGCTACTTTTATCCTTTTGTGACGCGAGCGAAGCTGCGGGTAAAAGCTAGTAATATATAAAATGTATTTCTCAACATGATAATGTTGTTAACCGACTTCAAGTTTTGACTGCACGATTGGCGCGGTGGCTGGGGAACCGGTTGCCGCAGAACGTGTCGCGGGTTCGATTCCCGCACGGAGCAACTCTTTGTGTGATCCACAGATTGTTGTTCCGTGTATGTGTGATGTGTATGTAAACGTACACACGACACAGTAGAAAACCCTAGTGTGGGGCCACGTTTAAAAAAAAAATAAAGAAAGAAGGCACTCAGTTTGTGGTTAAGCGCGATTATCTCGTGGCCTCGACTGGTTTCAAATCAGGACAGGGGCTCATAATTTCAGCAAGTTCGTCTAAGTAACGCCGGCCGGTAACGCACTTGTAACACCACTGGTGTTGCGCAGGTGTCCGTCTGCTCGTTTACCGGCTGATACAAAAAAAGATAGAATTATCACCCCCCCCCCCCCTGCTTAATACTTAACTAACAAAAAACTAAATATCACATTAAACACCGACCTCTCTCTAATCACCGTCCTTGATCCTCAGAAATGGAAGACGACGCGTCAGTATCGACCGGCGATCAACTAGTTCCTGTATCGGCGCCGCTACTGTCGGTGGCGACACTGGCGCCTTCTGCGGTGAGGGCGGAACTGCCGGCAGCCGAGACTGAAATGGCTATTGTTGATGGTGAGTACAGTTTCATATTTTTAACCGACATTTCAAAGTTTGACCGTATGCGTGGGAGAGCCATGCTTCGGCATGAGTGGGCCGGCTCGACCGGAGTGATACCATGGCCGAGCAGAACACCGACGTGAAACAACGTTGTGTTGTGTTTCGTCGTGTGAGTGAGGTTACCGGATGCCCAATTCCCCCCCCCCCTTTCCCCAATCCCTGAATCCCCAACAATCTTCAAATTCCTAATCCTAAAAGACCGGTAACGCACTTATAACGCCTCTGGTGTTCCGTGTGTCCATGGGCGACGCCGATTGCTTACCATCAGGTGATCCGTCAGATCGTTTACCGACTTATGTCATTTTGATTACATTGGGGAGATTCGGGAAGGGGAGGGTAATTGGGCCTCCGGTAACCTCACTCACGCGACGAAACACAACGCAAGCGTTGCTTTACGTCGGTTTTCTGTAAGGCCGTTGTATCACTCCGGTCGAGCCAAAGTCGAGTCTTGACCAGTTACTATTTATTTATTATTTTTTTTTTATATTAACTGGATCTGACGTTTGACCACTATCTCGCCTGGTTTTAAACTGTCAAACACCGCGAGGACACCGGTGACCACAACCAATTGTTCTTTAATTGTGTCTATAACGACGGTACTCAACGAGTTAAGCGATGATGAGTATGATGATAAGTAATTATATCGATACTATAATATTGTTTTGTCCACAGAAGTTCCAATGAAGCCGCTAATAGTCCAGCCACATACAGTAGTGCTGAAGTACCATAGGAAAGTGCCGCCGTTCCGACAGACCATCGCAGGTGAGCTCCGCTGTGTCAACTAATGTATGGAGGTGTTTAAGTAGCTGGGGTTCAGGATATACTGGTTCATGTGGATGAATGTCTGTAAAAACGACTAATTAGTGTAATTTATTTATTAACGATACTTAAAACACGTATTTGACATCACGCATTTTATCCCCGAAGGGGTAGGCAGAGGTGCACATTACGGCCCTTAATGCTACTGTACAATTTAACACCCACTTTTCACTATTTATGTTACGAGTCCCATGTAATAGGGGGTGAGCCTATTGCCATATACCGGGGACAACTCCAGACTGAGAATTTTATGTATACATGTTTATTTTGGTTTTTTATGGGATAAGCCGGTAAACGAGCAGATGGATCACCTGATGGTAAGCAATCGGCGTCGCCCATGGACACCTGGAACACCAGAGGCGTTACAAGTGCGTTCCCGGCCTTTTGGGCATTGGGAATTTGATGATTGTAAGACTATAATGAATGTCAAGCTACACAGAAGCTTGTCCTTGACACATTTTAAATTTATAATATACAGATTTATGTGCCTTTAGGCTTAATTCATTCTGTCTCCTGCAGTAATTCACCGAAGGAAGTGGAAACTATAGTTTTTTCTTCTTCTCCTTTTATAATATCTTCTGATTCACTTCGTTGCGGGAACCAAGACAGTTATTCATGTCCCTGGGACGTTGGACTTCAGTGTTCCGGTGTTTTCATGGTGGTATCTACTGTAGATCCTGGCTTACAGGAGTTGCAGCGGTTTTGGGAGGTTGTGGCGGGCTTGTCCCATAAAAAAAATATACAGATTTAATTTTTTCCCCCCGTCCAGGTCGTCTAGACGCGGCGTATATATCGGACATGTCAGTATGTCGCGCGCGCCACTCTCGCGTCGGGTTCGGTGTCGCTGGCACTATCACATTCGCTACTTCATACGATGCTGTTAATGACCTGCCAAAATGTGAGTATCTGCTTTTAAATCATGGTAAACGTTTTTTTTTTTCTTACTAACCAGACGTTTACTCTTGAATCCAATTCCGATCGATCGACATTGATATTGTGTCATACTCTTGAGTTGCAACACTAGCGCCCATTGCATCCGTATTGCGTGGATATTGAATGAACTGAATGGTATTGAGTTTGGCTATGCTATTGTAACAGCTACGATTGTGGTTGTATAGTGTTGACATTGAATAATTATTGAGATTTTATTGGATTGAAATTGCATTGACATTCATTCAATATCTACGCAATACGGATGCAATGAGCGCTAGTGTTGAAACTCAAGAGACGACGAAGTTCGAATTTCACAATACCAATGTCGATCGATCGGAATTGGCTTCAAGAGTAAGCCCCCAGTTCAACATGTACAAGACAGGGCCTTCCGCTGGTATCCCCCTCGAGAGAGAGAGAGAGAGAGAGAGAGAGAGATTGTGATAATCTATCCAGTCATTTAGGCTGTTTTACTAATTACAAACACGACTTCTAATGTCCACAGCGGCTGAGCTCTCAGAGCTGGGTAGATACGTGCGCGGGCGGGCCAACAACGACTGGTCGGAGCCAGTACTCGTCCGGATGGCTATTGGACAACCCGATAAGGATGATGGGATGATAGTGAGTAACCTATTTACTAGCTAGACATTTCTCAAAACTGGTTTTAGAATTTTAGCTTAACTGGTATATTATAGAAAATCATTCTCGATCCCTGCAGCCGTGTTTACCTAAAAGAGTAACAAACACATACACACACACACACACATTTTTCAAAAGGTTGTCTGTAAGAAATCGCCTTGTGCGATAAGACCGCCTGTACATTGTTAATACATACATAACATCACGCCTTTTTATCCCCGAAGGGGTAGGCAGAGGTGCACATTATGCCACTGTAAAATGTAACACCCACTTTTCACTTTTATCGAATCGAACCCGAGACCCCTTGCCCGGCAGTCGCACTTGCGACCACTCGGCCAACGAGGCAGTCAAATTTTTGTTAATATTTATCCTATAATGTGATTGTGTGGTGTATAATAAAGCATATATTATTATTATTTTCTGTTGGTAGTCAAAGTCTTAAATTATTCAGCACATTTAATACTTTGCCTGAGATGTGCTCCTATTTTTAAATCGACTTATGACGAAATACTCGAACGCCACTCAATTTGAACATAGTAGAGCTAGTAGAGCTTTTCTCAGTATATTCACGTGAGTAACCCGCGATTTTAGTTAATTTTTTTACCATATTTTTAATCATATTTTTATTTAAAATTTCTAATCAATTTAATCTCCCTTTTCATTTACAGGATGTCCTAAAGAAGCATTTAGAAACCCTGCTAGATCACTCGACTCTGTCCGAGGTGGATGCGACTCAGTGTCCACAGCTGCGATTGTCGCAGTCTCCCCGCGACAGACGCGTCGTACTGTCGCAGTACCTCAAGGACTCCGCCAAAGTAACGTCGCGGTATAAGGTGAGTTGCTTTTCATATTTAATGAGACTACCAACGTCAAAGTCAAAATCATTTATTTCATTTAGACCAGGAAGGCACTTTTGAACGTCGAAACAAAATATTGAAATATTTAAAAAAATGTCAGTCTGTCAGCCAGTCCTCTAGTCTCTATTTCCTCGTTCCAAGTGTCCTTTGGAGAAGAACGAGCAAGAAAGTCCACGGTGATTCTTTTTTAATCAGTTTCTCAACACAATATTCTTGGTTTACTGAGTTTACTAGGGTATTGGAATCCCAATCCCCTTCCCCCTCCCCTCCCCCCGATTGCTAAACACCCCGAATATCTACCCTAACCCCAGTACGCAAAATTCCCATCTATAATTCTCGAATCCCCCATACACAGTTCACATATCTTTCTCCTCTTCCTTTTACTCCCTCTATCTCCAACCTCAAAATGCCTAACCCCCAATCCCCGTTCTACATCTCCCCCTTCTCATCTCTCCCTAAGCCGTCCCACTAGTGACTCCTCTAGTGTTCCGAGTCTCCATTGCAACGGTGATTGCTTACCATCAGGTGATTCGACTGCTGCAATATCTACTATTACATAAAATAATACTAATACTAATAATAGACTGCGTCGTTGGCCGAATCGTCGCAAGTGCGACTACCGGGCAAGGGGTCTCGGGTTCAATTCCAGGGTCGGGCAAAGTTTTACTGGGTTTTTCAGTAGTAGCACGGAGTCTGGAACTGTGCCCGATATATGGCAATAGGCTCACCCCCTATTACATGTGACTCATAGTATAAATAGTGAAAAGTGGGTGTTACTTTGTACAGTGGTATAATGTGCATCTCTGCCTACCCCTTCGAGGATAAAAGGCGTGATGTTATGATGATGACAAATAAAACTACTACTATTGTTTGTTTGTCCCCAGTTTGGCGTGTCGGGCGCGTACTGTAATGAAGTGTGGAGATTGTGTGACGCGCTGTGGGGAGCTGATCTTGACAATGATGGTGAGTTTGTCATATTACTTCGATAATTAAGTAAGAAATATGGGGGTTACCTGAAAAGTTTCTCGATCCTAGGTGTCTACCGTATTATCGCTCCCTAGTGTTTTTATTAAGCTAAGGAGGAGGCGGGACGCGTGAGGCGACCCAGCCATCGCGATTCGCGAAGGACACTCCGGGCGTCGGGGATCGCGGGACGATCTCCGGCCACCGTAAGCGCGGGCCGGAGGACATACAGCATGGGTGGCTCGTCGCCCGACCAGAAACAGACCCGAGCGGACGGCGCCCAGCGTGGAGCGCGACACTAACAGCCATCAGACTAATACGGTTGGGGTCCAATAGGGCTGATGCCGATACGGAGCCGCGGAGAACCTAACGGGTTACCGGGGCTCCGGCTCAAAATGCAGGAGTAGGAACGGGGTGGTTTTTAGTCAGTAAGAGTCTAACACTCCCTCTCGCCTCACCCAGGCGGGAGCAGTCATTCGATGATTTGCCCCCCTTAAAAAAGTGTTTTATTGAGATCGTTTATTTATATAGCCCATTACTCAATTTTAACAACAGCAACGAAACAGTCGTGGTGGCTTCAATTTATTTTCGTTACATTGTTCATTTTTATTTTTGTAGGTGTACCCGGCACGGATCCCCTATCAATAGTGAATAGACATAGACAATTCCTGGACTGGTTGAAGACGGCAGTAGCTGAGGCAACTGATGAAGACCTGGCTAAACCCACCGCTGGAGAAAAGGAGGATGGTAAGTTAGAACACATCGACAATCTAACTCATGAACTATTGCTAGAATTACCACGAGTGATACCACGGCCTCACAGAAAACCGACGTGAAGCAACGCTTGCGTTGTGTTTTGTCGTGTAAGTGAGATTACCGGAGGCCCAATTACTCTCCCCTTCCCCAATCTCCCCAATTCTTGTATCTCCAACGGTCCTCAAACTCCTAATCCCCAAATGGCCGGTAACGCACTTGTAACGCTTCTGGTGTTCCGAGTGCCCATGGGCGACACCGATTGCTTTTCATCAGGTGATCCGTCTGATCGTTTACCGGCTTATGCCATAGAAAAAAATACTACTAATATTATACTTTGGTGTCTTTTTATTTTATCGAATCCTCTATAATAGTGGTTGCCATCCAGTGGTCTTTGGACTATTTGTTTTTTTTTATGTCATAAGCCGGTAAACGAGCTGACGGATCATCTGATGGTAAGCAATGCGCGTCGCCCATGGACACCTGGAACACCAGAGGCGTTAAAAGTGCGTTACCAGCCTTTTGGGGATTAGGAGTTTGAGGATCGTTGGGGATTTAGGGATTGGGGAGATTGGGTAAGGGGAGGGTAATTAGGCCTCCGGTAACCTCACTCACACAACGAAACACAACGCAAGCGTTGCTTCACGTCGGTTTTTTGCTCGGACGTGGTATCACTCCAGTCGAACCGGCCCATTCGTGCCGAAGCATGGCTCTCCCACACTTGTGGTCCGAAGATGACAAAACATACACATGTTCAATAAATGGCACGCTTGAAAATGCAATGTAGTACAGTGGCATTAAGTGTCCTAATGTGCACCTCTGCCTACCCCTTCGGGGATAAAAGACATGATGTTATGATGATGATGTCTTCCTTATTTATTTGTGTCATATTATACACTTCGACTGCCCCGTTGGCCGAGTGGTCGCAAGTGCGACTGCCGGACAAGGGGTCTCGGGTTCGATTCCCGGGTCGGGCAAAGTATTACTGGGTTTTTAAAAAAAAATCTCAGTAGTTGCAAGGAGTCTGGAATTGTGTCCGGTATATGGCCTCTATTACATGGGACTCATAACATAAATAGTGAAATGTGGGTGTTACATTGTACAGTGGCAGTGTAGTAATGTGTTATTTATTTATTCGAAGGAGTACGGCCACATCACAAACATATAACATTCAAAATACACAACAGTAACAAAATAAAGGTCTGATGCATGCGACAATAATGGCGTACATAGCATTGGCAATTCATAGGCTTAACAGTGGCTTAAAAATAAAATCCAATTTGAGAATTATGGAAAAGAAAATAACAACAATAATCCACACCGTACACACATTAAAACGAGAATTTAACAGGTTCAATTTTCTATATAATTATCATATGTCTGATTAAAACAAAACAAATTAACAACAAAAATTAATTAGTATCTATGCCATATTAAGTCTAATAATAATAATTTAATACAAATATAATATAAATTATCGTCAGATTTCAAAGAAATGTCAATTAAATCAGAATCAAAATAATTTCAATGATTTAAAGAAATGTCAGAGTCCAAAACAGATGCCAAAGTATAAAGCAGCAAGCAGCACCAACAACAACAGCAACAAACGATACTATAGTGCATCAATAATCCTGCCTCTGTTCTGTATTAATTCTGTAATAATTCTGTACAATGTTATAATGATGATGATGTCTTTTTTTATTTATTAGTGTCAAATTGTACACTTTGTTCAACAGAGTCGGACGGGCACAGCGTCCGTATCTGGACGCTACTACTGGGCGGGCGGATACTGGAGGCGTGTAAGGTGGCCAGGGAACATGGAGACCTCAATATGGCCATACTATTGTCGCAAGCTGCTGGTGAGTACTTGCTTATATAAAAACTAGCTACTTCCGCGCGGTTTCACACTATCTGCTTAGCTCCTATTGGTCGTAGCGTGATGTTTTATAGCCTATAGCCATCCTCGATAAATGCGCTATCCAACACAAAAATAATTATTTAAATCAGACTCGTAGTTACGGAGATTAGCGCGTTCAAACAAACAAACAAAAAAACAAACTCTTCCGCTTTATATAATAGTATAAGATTTATATTTTACATATATTTTTATTTTACATATGTACTAGCTTCTGCCCGCGACATCGTACGCGCAATCCCGTTTCTACCATTCCCGTTGGATTTTCAGCACTTTTTTCTGTCATAAGAACCTTCTGACAATAACAAACACAACAAAAAAAATTAGCCAAATCGGTCTAGCCATTCTTAAGTTATGGCGTGACAACGGGAAACGGGTTTCATTTCTTTATATATATACTAGCGGACCCGACAGACGTTGTCCTGCATATCCACTTGAATGTATAAACAAAAATTCATTGAAAGTAGTTCAGCTGTTTACGATAAATAACCTAAACATCGACTGCAGCGCCATCTGCCGGGCTGATTTGTGAATCTAAACCATTCCCAGATCCCCATGAACACACACAAAAAATTTCATCAAAATCGGTCCAGTCGTTTGAGAGAAGTTCAGTGACATACACACTCACAGAAGAATTATATATATAAAGATATCCAATTCTGGGTGTATGTCATTGAACTACTCCTCCGCACGCAGCAGCTCTTTGTGTGATCCACAATTTGTTGTTCCGTTTCTGTGTGTGATGTGTATGTGAACTTGTATGTTTGTAAACGTACACACGACACAGGAGAAAATCCTAGTGTGGGGCAACGTTTTATTCGTTAAAAAAACATAAACATTATTATATACAGAGTGAGAACCTATTTTTTTTGAAGTCGGTTAAAAGTAATGTCTTCCCTCTTTAATATTTTATTACCTTAACTTCGTTATCTACTTCATACTTTCTTTTTACAATTTTGCACCCACCGCTTTAACATTCTGCACCACCTAATGGTCGACTGTCAGAAAATGTCTACGGCATTAAGTCTGCCAATGGGGATGATGACAGGGTATGAAAATTAAAAATATAATTAGTCCGTAAGTTAGGTAATGAAAAAATATTAGACACGTATTTTTTTATTTTGTCGTATAATAAAACAATACTTAGATAAAACGAATCAAAGTTAAGGAGTGGGGGCTAAAACGTCATTTCTTAGTATAAAATGTACTGAGAAGTGACGTCACGCGACATTTCAAATCAATATATCTTCGAAACTATTCGTTTCTGTGAGAAAATAAAAAATACGCGTCTAATGTTTTTAAATAATCTATCAGACGGACATTAAAATAAAAATTAGTCGTCTACCCTATTTCAGTGTATGTGCAATAAAGTTTAATAAATAAATAAATAATGTTTATTTTGATCCACAGGCGATCCTTCCTTCCGTTCACTGATCAGTCGTCAACTGTCCCAGTGGCGGGAGTGTGGCACGGACTCGCTGATATCGTCGCACCGCTGGGCGACGCTACTGCTGGTCGCTGGGCTCTCTACTCCGAGGGATAAACTCACTGAAATGGATTGGCTCAGAGCGCTGCATTGTACTGCTAGGTATGTTTTGTAGTATGGAACAGAGTAACCTATGGAGCTTCTTGCTCGTTCTTCTCAAATCAAATCAAATCATTTATTTGCATAAAATATAGGTGTTTATAAATAGGTTGTTACAGATATAATATAGTAGCCGTATACATTTTGCCCGTTTATTGGCATGCAAAATATGGTGAAAAAACTGTCAGATTCAATATTATAGCAAGCAATAATTAAGGTTTACAAATTCAATACAAACAATAATAACAATGTCAAGAAATACATAATGTTAAAATAATATCAAGAAATACATAATGTTAATTTGAATTGTTGAATAATAACATTTGTCAATGAGAACTTTCCGTACAGTCGTTTTAAATTGATTTAAATTCAGTTTACATTGTCTGGTAACTTATTATCTACATAGGAATCTACGCCTTGGAATGAGCAAATAGCTTCACTTTTAAAAAATTTTTGTTGACGTTCAAAAGTGCCTTCCTGGTCTAATTGAAATAAATGATTTTGACTTTGACTTTGATTTTGAAAGTAGTTTTAAAATTCAAAGTCAAAATGATGACTGCATTGGCGCGGTGCCTGGGCAAATGGCTGCGCGGGTTCGATTCCCGTACGGAACAACATTGTGTGATATACAAATTCGAATCTACACTTAGGTACGAGCGTCTAGCTTCATTGATAGATAGATGGACAAACACATTATCTACTATATAAAAATAAGTCGGGTTTTCCTTCCTGACGTAATAATATTTCACGCTATAATTATAATGGCATCGCAATACTATTGTCCACAGATACCTCTGCCCTCACGTGCCCACTCTTGAACAAGTCCTCCGGAAATACGAAGGTTTCTTCGCTCAGTCCTCTGAGGATATGGACCAGGACCTCTCCCTGCTACAGTCGGAGGAGATGGGCATGCAACTGCCGTTACCACCATACGTTAAACAGTATGATGTTACCGTTGTTCAAGTAAGTAAACCTATTGATCTTTAATTGTGTCTATAATGACGGTACTCAAACGGTTAAGGTTCGATTTTCCCAACGCCAGATAAATTTTATGACTGCATGGTTGTCGCAGTGGCTGGGCAACTGATTGACGCGGAAAGTGTCGCGGGTTCAATTCCCGCACGGAGCAACTCTTTGTGTGATCCTCAGATTGTTGTTCCTTATCTGTGTGTGATGTGTATGTGAACTTGTATGTTTGTAAACGTACACACGACACAGGAGACAATCCTTTGTGTTGTCTTTTGTCGAGACGTATAGGAGTCGAGTAAAGCAAGTGAATCCGCGCGGGAATAGCTAGTTCTTAATATTATATTAAAATTGTTAGACTTTGATACTGACCAGATTAGCGATATACTAAAGAAGGGCCAAAATAAAAGTACCCTTAACCGACGAGCATGCATGAAAAGATTGATGACTGTTGATGAAGCGAAAGAGGTATGTAAGAATCGTAGCAATCGGCGTTTCATAGTCTCTGCCTACGCCTACCCTCATGGGAGGCAGGGGTGAAGTTATGTATGTATGTCAGACTTTTGGACGCCAAAGGTCCAAGATAAATAATAAAAAAGTATTTAAAATGTTAATTATTAAATTGTTTTCCTCACCTCCCCAACAGAATGGCAAACAGCGTCGTGTCCTGGACGTGCGCTACGAGTTGATCCGCGCGCGCGCATACAACGCGCGGCCCAAGCTGCGCCCCGCGGCATACACCGCCGACCCCATGGACTACAGCTTGTGGTCAGTTTGTAGATAATGTTTTGTGAAAGAAAGAGAAAACACATTCATTTGATAAGGAGACACAATACAAAGATTATAAAAAAAAATAAAGACTGCCTCATCGAGTGCGACTACCGGGCAAGGGTTTCGGCTACGATTCCCAGACCGGAAAAAGTTAAAAAAATCTCAGTAGTAGCACGGAGCCTGGAATTGTGCCCGGTATATAGCAATAGGCTCACCCCCTATTACATGGGACTCAAAAGACTATAAGACTGCCTCGTTGGCCGAGTGGTCGCAATTGCGACTGCCGAGCAAGGGGTCTCGGGTTCGATTCCCGGGTCGGGCAAAGTATTACTGGGTTTTTAAAAATTCTCAGTAGTAGCACGGAGTCTGGAACTGTGCCCGGTATATGGCAATAGGCTCACCCCCTATTACATGGGACTCATAACATAAATAGTGAAAAGTGGGTGTTACATTGTACAGTGGTATAATGTGCACCTCTGCCTACCCCTTTGAGGATAAAAGGCGTGATGTTATGTTTATGTTTTTTATATACTAATATAACAATACATAATTTGTCGACAGTTTCCTACTGGGCACATGGTTCGGTAACCCCGACGTCGCGAGTATCACCGGCATAGCTGAACAACTAGAAGCGGCCGGACTTTGGCATCTATCTGTGTTAGCACTGGCCTACCATCCCGATCAGACTGCGTGAGTATTATATTTATTTTTATTTATTTATTTATTTATTTTATTTTAATTCGGGTAACCAACAGCTATATAACAAATAATAAAATTTCAGAATATGCTAATACAAAGCCAATTATAGGTTTCCACGCGTAGCTATAGTATATCTTAACAGAGGTTTTGCGAATGCAATGCACATAAGAATATAAAACATGGATAGTCATTCAAAAAATTTTAGGTTTAGTCGCCTACGCACCCTGGAACTGCTTGTATTATACTATACTATACTAGCTTCTTTTCGCAGCTTCACCCGCGTCCCCGTGGTATAAAAAGTAGCCTATGTGTTATCCATAGACCATAATCTACCTATGTCGTGGTGGCCCGGAGGTTTAAGACGCCCACTTCTCATGCATGAGGGTGCGGGTTCGAAACCTACCAACGGCAAGTACCAATGTGACTTTTTCAGAGTTATATGTACTTTCTAAGATTATTTAGACACCACTGACAAACGGTGAAGTAAAAACATCGTGAGGAAACCTGAACTTATAATTTCTAATTATAAGTTTGAAATCACCAACCCGCATTGAGCAAGCGTGGTGATTAATGCTCTAACCTTCTCCGTGTGAGAAGAGGCTTTGCTCAGCAGTGGGCATTTATAGGCTGTTGATGATGATAATCTACCTATGTTCCAAATTTCATCCCAATCCCTTCAGACTTTTTGTCGTGATTGAGTAACAAACAAACAAATATACAGACAAACACACATACTTTCGCATTTATTTAATAACTAGCTTTTACCCGCGGCTTCGCTCGCGTCACAAAAGGATAAAAAGTAGCCTATGTGACATATACCAATACATACAGCGCCATCTATACCAATACTTTTGTTTTCCCTCGGGAATATCAAATTTTTTCGGGATAAAAAGTACCCTATTATTTAATCCGGACTTCTAACTTTACGTCTGCAAAAATTCAATGCAATCGGTTTAGTTGTTACGGCGTGAAAGTGGAACAAACAAACAAACAAACTCACTTTCCGATTTATAATATTAAGTAAGGATACTAGCTGGTATAAAAAGTAGCCTATGTGTGATAACCAATCACAACCTACCACTTTACTAAATTTAATCTCGATCCCTTCACCCGTTAAGACGTCAAATAGTAACAAACACACATACTTACCCTGAAGGATAAGGTTTTTTTAAGGGGCGAAAAATCATCTATTTATTTCTTCCCCCTTGGATGAGGCGGGAGGGAGTGTCAGACTCTTACTGACTAAAAACCACCGCGTTCCTACTCCTGCACTTCGAGCCGGAGCCCCGGTCACAAGGCATCCCAATGTTTTAAAGTATTGACTTTCCAATAAAACCACGTGTTAGGTGTTTCATTTTATAGTGTTACCAAATCGTAAGAATCAGTTCTAGTCTATCCTAGACCAGCTTCCGTCTCCATCAGCCTTATTGGGCCCCATCCGTGGTGGTCTGATGGCTCTTACGTCCAATTTCATTAACCTTAAGTGTGGGAGAGCCATGCTTCGGCACGAATGGGCCGGCTCGACCGGAGTGATACCACGTCCGAGCAGAAAACCGACGTGAAACAACGCTTGCGTTGTGTTTCGTCGTGTAAGTGAGGTTACCGGAGGCCCAATTATTACCTTCCCCTTCCCCAAACTCCCCAATCCCAGAATCCCCAACGATCCTCAAACTCCTAATCCCCAAAAAGCCGGTGACGCACTTGTAAAACCTCTGGTGTTCCAGGTGTCCATGAGCGACGCCGATTGCTTACCATCAGGTGATCCGTCTGCTCGTTTACCGGCTTATGCCAAAAAAACCTATCTATCTGTAGATATGTCTACTAGAGATAGATTTTTGACACTTTTTGTATGGAGCTCATGTCAAAATTCTATCTCTAGTAAGCAAATCTACAGATAGATAGGTTATTGAAACTGGCTGTCATAGTGTCACGCGGGACGCTCGGCGCCGCACGCTCGTGTCTGCAGCTGTAGCCAAATGCCATTTAGCGCTTGTCTACATGTAGATTTTTTTTTTTTTTAAGTGGTAAAATCATCGAAGGAAACGAGTGTCAGACTCTTAGTGACTAAAAACCACCCCGTTCCTTCTCCTGCACGTCGAGCCGGAGCCCCGGTTACCCGTTAGGTTCTCCGCGACATCTACATGTAGAATAGAAAACCAAATTATATGGAATTGCCGTAAATTTTGACACTTGTCAGTGTCATCCCCATACATCTTGATTTCTACTCTGTCTGTAGACAAGCGCTAAAGTGGCGTTTGGCTACAGCTGCTGGTTCTGGTCGGACGGCTACCCGTGCTCGCCGTCCGCAGGCTCGCAATTATAGGATAGGGTGTTAAACTTTGTTTGTTTATTATTACACAATCATGTCAAAACGGCTGACGAGATAAAATTTGAAATAACAAATATGCCCACGGGTAAATTACACAGAGTCTGGTATCTTACCCAATGTACGGCTTGATTGAATAATTGTACCATTTTTACCCCCCAGTCGCAACCACCTAATACGCGGCGTACTATCACGGCACGCGCCCGCCAAAGCGGAGTCAGCAGATATGAAGGCCCGCCTAGATCTGATCAGGAGACTGAAGGTGCCGGAGCAATGGCTGTTACTGGCGCAGGCGCATCGGGCCAAATATGAGGTGAGGGTTATTGAATACTACTACTTCCGCGCGGTTTGACCCGCTCTGCTCAGTGTCCATTGACCTGAGATTGACGTGGCGTGATGTTTTATAATATAGCCTTCGTGAAAAGAATTTTTAAAGTCAAACCAGGTGTTCCGGAGACTTTTTATGGGTACAAACCGGTAAACGAGCAGACGGATCACCTGATGGTAAGCAATCGGCGTCGCCCATGGACACCTGGAACACCAGAGGCGTTACAAGTGCGTTACCTGGCTTTTTGGGATTAGGAATTTGAGGATTATTGGTGATTCAGGAATTAGGGGGTATGGTTAATTGGCGAAGGGGGAGGGGGGTAATTGGGCCTCTGATAACCTCACTCTCATGATGAAACGCAACGCACATGTTATTGGTAATGGTAACCCCTTTTTTTTCGAGGGAGAAAATTATCCAATGGCTTCTCTCGCCCGTGTGAGGCGGGAGGGAGTGTCAGACTCTTACTGACTAAAACCACCCCGTTTCTACTCCTGCACTTGGCGCCGAAGCCTTGGTAACCTTTTATGTTGTTCGCGGCTCCGTATCGGCATCAGCCCTATTGGACCCCATCCCAACACGTGGTGGTCAGATGGCTCGTTGTGTCGCGCGGAACGCTCAGCGCCATACGCTCGGATCTGGTTCTGGTCAGTCGTCTGCAGACCCAAACTTACAGTAGCCGGAGATAATCGATCCCCGACGCCCGGAAGGTCCCGCAACGGCTGGGGCGTGAGGAGGTTCATTCCTTTACGCGTCCCGCCTCCTCCTTAGCTAGCATGACTGCTTCGCAGAAGAGACGGCCTCCCAGTCCCAAGCTGCCCCTTAAACACTCAAATATGTACTAACCAATGTTATTGTTGCAGCGTCTCCCCGCCGTAGAGGCGGAGCACCTAGTGGGAGCCGGACATTGGAACGCGGCGCATAAAGTATTAATTGAAGAATTACTACCCGACGCTGTGCTAGCAGGTACATATTTTACATCAGGGATGTTAGGGAGCTCCGTAACCGTAACCGAAACTATCGGATATCCGATATAAAAAATATCAGTAACCGTAACCGAATCCGAAATAAAAGTTTCGGATACTATCGGATAGCAGCGTGACGTATAAATGAAACAATTATATTAGCTATTTGTATTTTACTTTTGAAATTCCTTAAAATTTTAATATCCGTAACCGAAATTATCCGAAACTAACGGATAATCCGAAATAATTTCATATCCGTACCCGTAACCGTATCCAGTATAATAATCATTTCTATATCCGTATCCGAAATTTCATATCCATAACATCCCTGTTTTACATACATACATAACTTCACGCCTGTCTCCCATGGGGGTAGGCAGAGACTATGGAACGCCAATTACTACGATTCCTACATACCTCTTTCGCTTCATCAACAGTCATCAGTCTTTTCATGCATGCTCGTCGGTTAAGGGTACTTTTAACGCATTCACTGCCCAGTGGATTTTCTCCAGTGCCCGAATTATAAGACATCCTACAGTGCCCCGCACGCACTATTGCGTTCAATGTTTGCCCTTTTCGTGTGCCGGAAACTCATATACGCGTTCTTACGGCTCCCACCGTGTGCCCGAAACTCATATATGCGTCCGTTCGACTCTCGGCGAGTGCCCGTGACGCGTCTGTGCGTTTGTTATATACTTACGAAAATACGATAGAATATTATGTATCTGTAGATAAAAGTTAGGGTCATGACACACTGTAATGGAATTTATAATCCATAAGATTATTTATTTTATGTAGTGAAATTGAAAAAATTATCTAAATATAAACTAAGGATGAACGTAATAATTCTATAATTGGTAAGTAGGTTTATATTTAGAACATTGTTGTATTTTAACCGACTTAAAAAAAAATGAGGTTCTCAGTTTGACCTGTATGTTTGTTTGTACGTGATTATCTCGCGATTGGTTGAACCGATTTTGATGCGGTTTTCAGAAAAACTTCTGTTACATTTAGGGGATGGGTTTAGTATACTAATTAACCTACTTCAAAAACAGGAGGTTGATGTTGGATTTTTAAACGTATGTCACGACGCGATGCCAGTATATATAAATTATAGTCTTTCACCATAGATATTTAGTAAGGTACTTATTATCTCGTATAGGTTTATCCTAAAACATTTCGATAGTTGGCTATAGCGCCTGGTGGATATGGTATTTAAAATCTTCAAAGGCACCGCCGTGCATTGTATTGCCGTTATCAGCAAACTAATGTGATTCTATTGTGCGTATGTAGATAAGAGTCATATGAAATATTAGGTTTCTTGGAAAAACAATTAGGTATCTAGGTAGATTTTGGCTTTAGCTCTCGTGGTATTTAAAATCTTCTAAGGCACCGCCGTGCATTGTATTGCCGTTATCAGCAAACTAATGTGATTCTATTGTGCGTATGTATTGTTATGTGAAATTTTAGGTTTCTTGGAAAAAAAGAGATGATCGAGATAACATTGAAAAAAAATACCACCAAAGGTGATCGTAGTCTTACGTGGATATTTCTTTTTTCAATTGTTCTAAGTATATTTATATTTCGAAACGGCTGAACAAAATTATTGATTATTGCATTGGTAGTAGTAGAATAAGTTTTTTTTATAATTCGTACAAAGTGTGTAATGACCTTTATCAAAGAAATCAGATAAGGAAGTACATATGTGTAAATATGGGTTTCGAAACAATAGACCCTCGGACGCGTCGACGGGCAGCAGGTAAAAAAAGGGTCAAATGAATAGAACGCATATTTGAGTCCCGGGCACATAGAGTCGTGTCACAAAACGCACAGACGCGTCATGGGCACTGAATGCGTTAATTTGGCCCTTTTGAACAGGGGATTAAAGAGTACATATTTTATATTTTGTTTTTTCATTTATTTTTCTATTTGTTTTTTGACGTTATTAAACTAATATATTATACATTTAAATTCAAAGTATTTATTCCAATTAATCATTAATTAGGTATTTGAAACGTCAACAATTGATTAGTCCGTCCGTCTGTCTGTCAGTGAAGCTAGGCGCTCGTTCCAAAGTGTAGTTTCGAATAGAAAAGAACAAGCAAGAAATTCCATCGTAACTCTTTTCAAAAAAATGTTTATTTATAATCTCACAAATACATTACATGTCTGTTCCTCTCACTCTGGCCGCGCTCAATGATCACCTGGATTCCAATCCAACTAGTGATCTGTTTGCGGACGGATGGAAGGAGATTTTATCAGAATGCTTGAAGTACTGCGAGAGACACTTATGAATGGTGTTAACCCTTGTTTTAACTAAGTTTTACTTTTCTTGTGTTTATGTTTTATTGTATGTGTCGTGATGGCCCGGAGGTTTAAGACGCCCACTTCTCATGCATGAGGGTGCGGGTTCGAAACCTACCAACGGCAAGTACCAATGTGACTTTTTCCGAGTTATATGTACTTTCTAAGATTATTTAGACACCACTGACAAACGGTGAAGGAAAAACATCGTGAGGAAACCTGGACTTATAATTTCTAATTATAAGTTTGAAATCGCCAACGCGCATTGAGCAAGCGTGGTGATTAATGCTCTAACCTTCTCCGTGTGAGAAGAGGCTTTGCTCAGCAGTGGGCATTTATAGGCTGTTGATGATGATGATGTTTTATTGTTGTAAATATGGCAGTTACTGTTATTGGATTTTTATGCTGTTGTGACTGTTTAAAAATAAATAAATATAATAAATTACAATTACAATAAGGACCATTGTTCTTGACTATCGTAATTGTTTTGTGGGACATCTATTTCGTTTTCATCCCGCGACAAAACAACTTACCATTAGGAGTATTTTCGATGTATAAAGTGAAAACAGACAAATAGAGACGTTATTTATTAGTACCTACCTCGATGGCCGAGTGGTCGCAAGTGCTACTGTCGGGCAAGGGGTCTCGGGTTCGATTCCCGGGTCGGGCAAAGTTTTACTGGGTTTTTAAAAAAAAATCTCAGTAGCAGCATGGAGTCTGGAATTGTGCGTGGTATATGGCAATAGGCTCACCCCCTATTACATGGGACTCATAACATAAATAGTGAAAAGTGGTTGTTACTTCTGTGCCTACCCCTTCGGGGATAAAAGGCATGATGTTATGTTATTTATTAGTAAAAATAAATTCATGCAAGTGTTTCATGTGCGTATCATGAAACACTAGACGTTGGAGGCACTATTCGCATCGCACGACACCCGACGAGATATCAAGGATTCATTCAAATAAATGCTTCAAATTTGACTTTTGTATCTCCCCTTCTATTAGCATGATAAATAGGGTAGATGACTAATTTTTATTTTAATGTCCGTCTGGTAGATTATTTTAAATCATTAGACACGTATTTTTTATTTTCTAACAGAAACGAATACTCTCGACGATACATTGATTTGAAATGTCGCGTGACGTCACTTTTATGTACATTTTATACGTAGAAATGACGTTTTAGCACCCACTCCTAAACTTTGATTTGTTTTATCTAAGTATTGTTTTATTATACGAGAATTGATACGATGTATCTAATATAAGTATAATTTTATTATATACATCAAAACAAAAAAATACGTGTCTAATATTTTTTCATTACCTAACTGACGGACTAATTAGATTTTTAATTTTCATACCCCGTCATCATACCTATTATATGTTTTATATTCCAGACGACCTTCAAAGCATAGCCCCGTTACTAGAACGTATGTCAGAGGCGGCGCAACGACATGAGGTGGCCGGCTGGGAGACTGGGGGACAGGCCATACATCATTATCTCCATGTCTGCGACGAGGTACGTTTTTTTTATGGGGTAGTCCGGTAAAGGAGCAGACGGATCACCTGATGGTAAGCAATCAGCGCCGACACCTGAGACAACAATGCCTTTAGCCAAATGCCACTTTAGCGCTTGTCTACATGTAGAATAGAAAACCAAATTATATGGAATTGACGTAAATTTTGACACTGGTCAGTGTCATCAATCATACATTTATTTCTACTTTCTCTGTAGACAAGCGCTAGAGTGGCGTTTGCCTAAAGGCACAGAGGCGTTACAAGTGCGTTACCGGCCTTTTGGGGATTGGAAATTTGAGAATTGTGGGGGATTAGGGAGACCGGGGAGGGGGAGGGGTAATAGAGCGTCTGGTAACCTCACTTAAACGACGAAACACAACAAAAAGCGTTGTGTCACAATAGTTTTCTGCTCGTCGGTGGTATCACTCCGGTCGAGCCGGCCCAGAAGTGCCGAAGCATGGCTCTCACACACATAAACTTGTTATTATAACGGTTGTGTTGAGACATTTGTAGGTTGAAAATGGCTTAAGCCAGTGGTTCCCAAAGTTGTTTATATGACGACTTATCTAAATCTAAACTTAGGACCCGCCTTTAGATTATTAAATCGTAACTAATATGAAAAATAAAATAGCAAGTCGGGTCGCGACCCACAGTTTGGGAAACCGTGGCTTGGCCATTATTGTCGGAATACTCAGACGCTACTCAATTTTAAGTCACGCTTAAGTATAGTTCTTTCTCTACTAATTCTTTGTAAAATGACAGAGATGGCACGATATTTAAGCACGACTTAAAATTGAGTAACGTTTCAGTATTCCGGCATATGTCTCCTGCATTCCAGCCATCCTTAAAACTGTCGATTCTTTCTCCTTTAATATATCTACTGTTTTATTTCGTCGCGGGATCCAAGATGTTATTCATGTCCCTGGGACGAATTTATTAGCCACGGAATTCTTGAGTTTATCTCTGAAGTTTATATCCTTACTATCCTTACTAATCCTTACTAATATTATAAATCTGAAAGTGAGTTTGTTTGTTTGTTTGTTTGTTCCACCTTCACGCCGTAACTACTCAACCGATTGCTACGAATTTTTGCAGAGGTAAAGTTAGAAGTCTGGATTAAATAATAGGGTACTTTTTATCCCGGAAAATTTTGATATTCCCGAGGTAAAACAAAAGTATTGATATAGATGGCGCTGTGAGTATTGTTATATGTCACATTGGCTTTTTATCCTTTTGTGACGCGAGCGAAGCCGCGGGTAAAAGCTAGTATGTATATATATTATATTGTTTCCAGATCCGCGGGCTGGTATCGTCCGCGGAGTCCCGCGCGGACCGGTCGGGAGTGTCGGCGCGCCTGGAGGCACTGCGGCCGCAGGTCGCCGCCGCCTGCAGGGCGCTGGGGGCGCTGCACGCTACGTACGTATATTGATATTGCAACTACTGCTACTGATTTCGATATTAAACCGCGTGACATCGATTTACCACCACTCCTCTTCCCGTGGGTGTCATATACCATACGGCTGTCGATATCAATAATCGATGTTAATCTTTAAATAAATTCTAGCTTTAGTTTCTATCCAAAATCAATACCAATTTGCCCGTGAATTTAACAATCGATCTGAATCCGAATCGACAATAAATCTATAAAACAAATGTTGAAAAACGATTTTATGCCAAAGATTTTAGATTGAATTTATAACGTGTTCCAAATATAACTTTACTGTGTGCTTAGTAAGATGCTACTTTATTAATATACAAACTTAAATAAAATAACAGCTTAAGATAAAAATTAAATAAACTGTGTGTTAAATGATATTGGTTATGCATTTTATCTTATCCTCGCTTCTGACGTGCGGTTTCACTCGCTCTGCTCGGCTCTCATTGGTGATGCGTGGACGTTCCTCGATAAATGCACTATCCAATACAAAAAGAATTATTCAAATCGGACTAGTATGTAGTTCCAAAGATTAGCGCGCTCAAACAAACAAACAAACTCTTCATCTCTATACAGGGTTATTGGTAAAACACCGACGTCCTCTCAGGACTATGTTACTAACATCATAATTAACAACTTTTGTTCTATGATTTTTTCACAAAATTTTATACATTTACCAAAAACAAACCTTGAATATTTTGTTGTCCTATCTAACATATTTCTACTCTGTATTGTTTTTTTTTATGGCATACATAAGCCGTTAAACGAGCAGACGGGTCACCTGATGGTAAGCAATCGGCGTCACCCATGGACACCTGAAACACCAGAGGCGTTACAAGTGCGTCACCAGCTTTTTGAAGAGTTTGAGGATCGTTGGGGATTCAGGGATTGGGGAGATTGGGGAAGGGGAAAGTAATTGGGCCTCCTGTAACCTCACTCACACGACGACGAAAGAAACATGGCTCTCCCACACTTAATCTCTGCGAGCAATCGACACACAATCCTTTGCAAGCAAACTGTGGATAAGCGCTGAGTTTTATCCATTTTTAGCTCTTTCAGAATAGACACATTTGTACGATAAGCTGTCCACGGTATCCCCAGCATCGCAAACCAGTCGTTCAAATTACTCTTAATATAGCCAATGGTAACCCATGCATTGAGCTTTGGACTTGGCTTTTAAGCAGTTGCCAGTGTAAAACAGATAGGTACATATTATCATGTCAATAGTTAAAACTTGAAATTCTTGGTACTTTACTGTTTCATACCAGGGGGCTTACTCTTGAATCCAATTCCGATCGATCGACATTGATATTGTGACATTTCATACTCTTGATTTACAAAACTAGCGCCTATTGCGTGGATATTGAATGAACTAAATGGTATTGAGTTTGGCTTTATTTTTCGTACTCTGAATGCTATTGTAACAGCTGCGATTGTGGTTGTATAGTGTTGACATTGAATAATTATTGAGATTTTGTTGGATTGAAATTGCATTGACATTGAGATTGGTTTCAAGAGTAAGCACACAGGTGTGGTGTCTATAACACTATTCAAAATAGCGGATAAATAATACTATAAAAAACCGACTTCGAAAACCAAAGCCTAAAAACAAGCAAAAGGTCAAAACTAATAAGCAAAAATAACTATCATTAGTCATACGTACTTACTTATAGGTTACCCACCCACTGATAGGGTAGAAGTCGGTGCCACAAGCCCATAACAAAATATAACTCAGGTTAATGGTCATTGTTATGGTCAGCCGTTGAGGAGTTTCCTTAGCTATCATACTACTTGATCATCAGACCCCTAATGACAGTGATACCCCATTTAGGTGTAAAGTTCTCATCACTACAAATTAATCAAGCAAGCCCAAACACCAGGTAGCTACTGTTAACCGTTGAGGAGTTCCCTTAACTATTTCATCATCAGTCCCCTAATGACAATTACATCCAATTTAGATGTAAAGATGTTCTCAATACAAATAATTTAAGCCCAAACACGGGGTCTTTGCTACAAATTCTCGAGGAGTTCCCTCGGCTGTCTCTTGACTCCATCATCAGATCAACTCCATACCTTTATCAAATTGTAACACAACATAAAATCACGCCTTTTATCCCCGAAGGGGTAGGCAAAGGTGCACATTTCGGCACTTAATGCCACTGTACAATGTAGCACCCACTTTTCACTATTTATGTTATGAGTCCCATGTAATAGGGGGTGAGTCTATTGCCATATACCGGGCACAATTCCAGACTCCGTGCTATTAGTGAGAATGAATAAACACAAGATATAAATAAATAACATTTAACGGCGCGTGCCCTTGCCAAAAGGGCCTCCATCTCAGCATTAAGTTGAGCATACATGCCCAACGCTGATTTTCAGATGGCACCCTGCAGTGACTCACTAGCTAAACCATAACTATTAATTGGAAAGAAAAACAACAACATATAAATAGGCAAATTGTCTTTCAAATAGATTAAAATTCCCTCAACACCATACGCGCCGTCTCAATAACTTCCGAGTTCCCGCCATCTTGACTTTTTCATTTTTCGAACCACAGATTACATTTTCCCGCTTCGCGATTACGTTTCGTTTTTTTTTGTCTATGCTTCTAACAATAGTATAAAATAAGATACTTATTGTTAATGATCTCTGCTTAATGATTATGATATTAATGATGTCTGCTTGGTGAAGACTTGATGATCATTTGATGGGCCAACGTTTGACCACTATCTCGGCTGGTGGTAAGCGATGATGCGGTCTACGATGGAGCACGTCGTCCCATAAGCAACCTATTCACTCGGGCCTTGAAGACACTCCTTGTTCGTTGTAACGCGCTAACCAACCCGTCCGTCCCCAGGAGCGCCGGCGTCCGCTTCGCCCGCGCGGAGATGGGCGCCCGCCTCGTGCAGTGCACGCTGGTGGCCGGCGAGCCGCCCGCGCACCTCGCCGCGCTGCTGCGCGCGCTACGCCTGCCGCCCGACACCACGCACGCCGCCGTACATAAGGTGAGACTTTTTTTTTTAAGGGGGGAAAATCATCGAATGACTGCTCCCGCCTGGGTGAGGCGGAAGGGAGTGTCAGACTCTTACTGACTAAAAACCACCCCGTTCCTTCTCCTGCACGTCGAGCTAGAGCCCCGGTTACCCGTTAGGTTCTCCGCGACTCCGAATCGGCAACAGCCCTATTGGGCCCCATCTGTGGTGGTCTGATGGCTTTTTGAGGCGCGTGTGGAACGCGATGCGCCGAACGCTCGGGTCTGTTTCTGGTCGAACGGGGAGCCACCCATGCTCGCCGTCCGCAGTCCCGCGCTTACGGTGGCCGGAGATCGTCCCGCGATCCCCGACGCCCGGTGTGTCCTTCGTGATGGCTGGGTTGGTTGCGAGGTCACGCGTCCCGCCTTCTCCTTAGCTAGCATGACTGCTTCACAAAAGGAGGAGACGGCATCCCAGTCCCCCTCGCTCCGCATCATGGCCCGCACTAGGCCCGGACGCGAGAGGTCGCCATCGCCGATCACTTCCCTGAGGGCACGGCGGTGCTCAGCCCACGCAGGGCATTCTCCCACTGTGTGTTCCACCGTGTCCTCACGGCGGTCCTCACAGTGATGACACCCGAGCATTTCCTCCCGCCCCATCAGACACAGGTACCTCCCGAAACTTCCATGTCCGGTGAGGACCTGCGCCAGGCGGTAGGTGAGGACGCCGTAGCGTCTCTCAAGCCACTCCTCAAAGAGGGGACTTACCGCTGCAATAGCAGCGAGCCCAGCCCTCGGTTGCGACAGTCGTTGCTGCTATTCCGCCATGAGATCGCGCCGGAGCTCATCCCGCCACGCACATATCTGGCGCGGCAGCGGAGTTTCGCCCCGGCGACGTGCCTCCGCGCGCATGTGACACACGCGCGCGAGCACCTTCGCCTCCGGATCCCACGGCGGTAATCCGGCAAGGAGGTTCGCCGACTCCCCGGTTCGGATGGCCGTGACCCTCTGTGACATGAGCAGCGTCCGAGCGGGACGCCGCAGCATGTTCGGCGCCCACACAGGGGCGCCGTAGAGGGCCATAGACCGCACGACCCCGGCGTATTACCTCCGGCAGGAGGCGTTTGGCCCCCGAGGTTGGGCAGGATGCGCTTAAAGGCAGCCCCCGCCCTCGCCAACTTTGGAGCCAAACGTCGGAAGTGCTCCACGAAGTTCCATCGACTGTCGAGGACGAGTCCCAGGTACTTCATCGCCGTCTCGACGCCGATGGTAACCCCTCCCGCCATTATTTGAGACCCACCCGGAGGTGGCGCATTCCCGCGGCCATGAAAGCACATGGCCTCGAACTTGTGGAGCGCCACCTCGAGTCCCAACACACAAGGTCAGACTACATACATGCTGGCTACATCACATGTTCATTAGTAGGCAGCACGAGTCAATCATGAACATATTTCTTTTCCAGATAACTTCAATGATAGCATCGAGGGCAGCAGAATCGTGCGGCAACTCCACTAGTCCGCCGTCTGCACACCCCGTGGCGAGCTAACGGGATGAACGTCACTAGTACATCGTCTGCTCGTTCGCTGGTTATAAACAAATTGTAATATATAGCATCATTTTTAAATAAGTAAGAGAAAGAAATTGTGTAAAATAATGTCAACAGACCATAACTGGTCCAAAGTGGGTGTTACATTGTGTGTGTGTGCACCTGGAGATCTAAAATTGGTGTAAAAATCTTTGAAATCAGTCTTGGAGAAGTTTTGGAGCTTATTTGTGTAAAAGAACATACTATTAATAGCACGTTTTAAACTTAAATTTTAACACAATTAAATGTGACCCAGTTCCCCCCCCCCCCCCAATTTCCCAAATCCCCAATTATTTTCAAATTCACACAAAGAAACTCCATAGTTACTCTGTTAATAAAAAAATGTTATAATATGGAATCTACCAAAATAATGGTTTTTGTAAATTAACGAATAGGTTATTTGATTGTATTGTGATATAAAAAGGTAGAAGTTTGAAAATAATTGTCTCAAAATTCCTCACTTAAATACCTGCGGGGAACGGGACAAATTGATTGTCTGTCTAGCCTCACCCCCTATTGCATGGGACTCGTAACATAACTGTGGGTGTTACATTGTATCTGTGCATCTGTGGAATAAACTGTCGATAGATATTTGATATAAATTCCATACAAAATGTATCAAAATTCTATCTTTTACTTACTTAGCCCATATATCCCCAGCGGTCACCGGTGACCGCTCTCCACTAACTACATTATAGACCTTATTTCCAATGATTAGAGACTACTTTTGTATGAACTAATTTAGGCAACGGGTTAGACAAAGATCGATGTGAAATGTTCATAAACAAGCCACAAAGGTGCGAGTACATCTGTCCGCAGCAAATAGCAGTTTGTGTGCTTGTATAGTTGTGTCATCACTCAGAACTGTCGGTAAATAGAGGGAGAGAGAGGGCGGGAGTGGGACGGACGTAGCGGGTACATACACACGGACGAATACACTTATGGCTTGTTTGTGAACATCTCACGTCGATCTTGGTCTGAGTATAGTTCCGAACAATACTATATTTCTAGTTAGCAAATGTACAAATTGCACAATTATTTGTATATTGTGCCACAATGTCGTAAGACATAAAAAAAATATGATAATAAATGTATTTGACATGTCATTGTAAATCAAATTTTGTTAAAAAAATCGTTAAACCGTTAAAATTGTTGGATCTGGTTGGTTTTTTATAAGTAATCAATTTCGTACCTAAAATTCTAAGAATTAAGGTTCTCTGTTAAATGTGAGAGTAATATTTAAATTGGTCATTTCATCGCCAGTGCACCTTTGGTATACATTGTCGGTTTGCAAAATACAATAATGTTTCGATGAAGCTAATACATAGCGACTTTATCAGGTACATGTGAGACAGGCGTTTAGTATATTAGCTTATGTTAAAGTTATATGTGTAGACAATTATTTATTAGGAATTTGGTAAAAATTGTGTTACATTGCACATTATTGGTCATCCATTAATTACGTCACACGAATTGATTGATGTTCTGCCCCCTCCCCCTCCTCCGCGCGTCCTTGTCACAGCCAGACACATTTGTGAGACCCCCTCCCTAGTGTGACGTCACATTTTTCAAATTAACGCATAGAAATTGCTGAATGAAAACAGCGGTACTGAAATTATGTTTTAACAAGCTCTGCTCAGCTCCTATTGGTCGTACCGTGATGTTTTATAGCCTATAGCCATCCTCAATAAATGCGCTATCCAACACAAAAAGAATTATTCAAATCAGACTTGTAGTTACGGAGATTAGCGCGTTCAAACAAACAAACAAACAAACAAAAAACAAACTCTTCCGCTTTATATAATAGTATAAGATAACATTAACATCAAATCAAACAAGTAGAGCGAGTGATCGACAACAATTGGTATTTTATATTCACACACAGATATGTTTTTGAAGTGTAGGATCCCTCCCTCCCCCTTGTCATACTTCTTCTACTCCCTCCCTCTCCCCCTTAACGTGTGACGTAATTTATGGATGGCCCCTAATAAATATATTCCACTCTGTCTCCCCGTCACCAGCCGGCTGTATTCTATAGTCAGAATTTTAATTAGATTCCAGATTTGACAATAGCTACTGTCATTTTGTGAAATAATGATACCACATATAATAGTGTAGTGATGCACACAAAAATCGATAAACAATCGGTGTGTGTGTTTTATAATAAATGTTACAGAAAGTGACAGGATAGCGATAGCCATGACGGCGACAATTTATAAAATAACTTATTACCATGATACATCTGTTTCATTTGTCATGTTCCTTCATGATTACATTTTTTTATTTATTTCACACACAATTATAAAAGAAACGTCTCAGATCATTAATTAATCGTCAAAACAAAATTATCGGTTCAGAAATATTTAATTTCCTGATATACTTAGTTTACAAGAGTAAAATTATAAACGAGAAGAATCGATCCAGAAATATTGCATTTCCATATCGAATAATTTCGCAACGTCACTATTTAGTACTTGTCATAACGTTGCAACACTGAAATTGTCAAATCTGGAATCGAATTAAAATTCCGAGTATAGTGTCTGGTGTAAAAGATCTAGGCATATAAATTAATACTAAGCTCCATTGTATCGAGGACGTCGAAAGAAAGGCGGACGTAATGTCGCTTAGAAACGATTGAAGCACCAAAATGTCAATGGGTTATGTATGTGTGCGTGTGTAATGTGTTACCACGTTCCCAGACTTGAGATCGCGACAGATGTCCTTCGTGTCGATGTGTGTGTGTCCTGCGTGTAAGTGTATAGTAGCCAGGTGCCGCAGTCGTCGCTTCAAGAGACTATGTCCGCCTTTCTCTCGACGTCCTCGCATTGTATAGTAAATTTAATTTGTATTTCATAAAATAAGACATTTTTTGTAAGAGTCTGAACGAATGTCTAATGTAAAAAGCTAGTTTTTTTTTTATTATAATATTACCTTGTTAGTCGAGTGAGCGCAAGTGTTTACTGAGCAATAAAGTCTCAGGTTCGAGTCCCGGGTCAGGGGGCTCACTCTTGAATCCAATTCCGATCGATAGATATTGATATTGTGTCGTACTCTTGAGTTGCAACACTAGCGCCCATTGCATCCGTATTGCGTGGATATTGAATGAACTAAATGGTATTGAGTTTGGCTTTATATTCCGTACTCTGAATGCTACTGTAACAGCTACGATTGTGGTTGTATAGTGTTGACATTGAATAATTATTGAGATTTTATTAGATTGAAATTGCGTTGACATTGAGATTGGTTTCAAGAGTAAGCGCTCAGGCCAAAGTATTATTGTTATTGTCGGTTTTTTAAAATCCCCAGTAATGGCAAGTAATCTGAAATTGTCTGATGTTTGGTTTTGCCATCAGCCCCTATTACACGGGCGTTTAACCGACTGTATGAAAGAGAGTAATGTGTTTACGCCAAATGATAATCGTTCAGACTCAAAAGCTTTAGAATTCAATTGTTTATTGTTAAGACATTTAAATGTAAGCGGTTTTCAATTAAATAAATATTATTTTCAAATACTTTTGTCGTTTTTATTATGTGTTAACTTTTAGCCGCGGGTTTGTACGGAAATAGTAGCCTATGTGTTATTTCAGATTAATCTATCTCCGTGCCAAACTGTATTCAAATCTATTCAGTACTTTCGGAGTAAAAGAGCAACACAATAAATAAAATGTCGTGGTGGCCCGGAGGTTTAAGACGCCTACTTCTCATGCATGAGGGTGCGGGTTCGAAACCTACCAACGGCAAGTACCAATGTGACTTTTTCCGAGTTATATGTACTTTCTAAGATTATTTAAACACCACTGACTAACGGTGAAGGAAAACATCGTGAGGAAACCTGGACTTATAATCTCTAATTATAAGTTTGAAATCGCCAACCCGCATTGAGCAAGCGTGGTGATTAATGCTCTAACCTTCTCCGTGTGAGAAGAGGCTTTGCTCAGCAGTGGGCATTTATAGGCTGTTGATGATGATAAATAAAAACGATTTTTCAAATAAAACAAACCAATGAAGTATAAAATATTATGTACATTTATTTTAAAGTTTATTAACATTATTAAATTCATGTTTATAACTAAGAAGTAAAATAACAAATTAACAGGAGCGGTACTCCTAAAATTGACAACGACACAATCCAGTCGCCGAGTCGTGAACTGTTTGTAATAGATTTTCATCTTTACAGTATTGTGATAAAGTTTAAATTTCTATTTATCTAATGTCCTAAACTCAACAGTATTATACAATCGACTGCTAGATTACATGTTTATAAATAAAAACTAAAACATAATTCGTTTCGGACAAAATACGCTGAAGTTTTCTATTCAAAGTTCCACGAAATATAAAATTGTGATTACATTCTTCAATCCCGAGTAACAAGAAACATTGAATACATTAAAAACAAAACATAATATCCTTACCGTTCAAAAACTATATGTAGCTAGCTTCTGCCCGCGACTTCATACACGCAATCCCGTTTCCTCCCATTCTCGTGCGATTTTCAAGACTTTTTCTGTCTTAAAACCCTTCTCCTAATAATAACAAATACAACAGAAAAAAAAATCAGCCAAATCTGTCTAGCCGTTCTCAAGTGACAATGGGAAACGGGTTTCATTTTTATATAATAACTAGGGAACCCGACAGACGTTGTCCTATAATAATAGGTATGGATAAATAACCTAGAAACCAATTGCAGCGCCATCTGCCGAGCTGATTTGTGAATTTAAACCATTCCTAGATCCCCTTGAACACACACAAAAAATTTCATCAAAATCGGTCCAGTCGTTTGAGAGAAGTTCAGTGACATACGTACACTCACAGAAGAATTATATATATAAAGATACATAGATGTAATAATGATATTAGCTTCTGCTCGCGGCTTCGCCCACTATCCAATAGGATAGAAAGTAATAAAGCCCATGTGTGATTTCAGATCACAATCTATCTCTATTCCAAATGTCGACCCTATC